TTAGGTTTCTTACTCATTATTTCCTTTAGGCCTCTCTCAAATATGGTGCAGATCCTCGTGTCTTCAGTATCATGAGCAAGGTAAATACAGATTATCGGTTTCTTTCTATCTCTCTATTAAGTGTATTGATTTTGATCATATTTTCTTCTTACATTCAAATTACACATCTTATTGCTTCCAGGAATTCATGGGAGACGAGCAAGGCCACGTTAAGGGAATTAAAACAGTTCAGATCAAGTGGGTCCAGGTACGTTTTATTCTAAATCAAACACCCAAGTTAATAAGAAGGTGCTTGGAAACAGGCGCACAAGGTGCGTGTAAACATGCGCCACATCTCTTACTCACCGCGTCAATCGATATTTTTGGCACAGACTCCTGTTTTTGAGACGCGAATGAAGCTATATGTTCTTTGCCTTCGCTGTAGCTTTTAACCCTTAAGCTCCTGTGATCTGATTGTTAATTCTCCCTGTAGCTGCTACAGATTTCCTCTAAGATTAGTTATGAGCATTTAATGTTAGGTCACGATAACAAACTTCTACCTGTTAATTTTGAGTATAATCATCACCTGCTTGCTGAATGATATATGGATATTATAGGGAGAAGTTACATGTTAATCACGTCTGGGAGTTAAAGGGTTGACTACCTAAACGCTGCAGACAAAAATCTGAAGCAGGTGCCAGGGTAAACTCTAACCTCTTTTAATTCTTCACGCACCCACTGCGCCTTATTTTAGGGTAACATTGAAATAAAGTGCAAGGATAACCTAAGATTACTAACACAACACGTGTCACTTTTTCACTATCAACAGGATGTTACTGGAAGGTGGACAATGGAGGAAATACCTAACTCGGAAAAAGTGTTCCCAGCGGATAAAGTGATCATTGCAGCGGGATTTTTAGGTCCCGAGAAAACATTGGCGGAACAGTTTGGGATAAAGAAGGTTAGTTTAAAGTGTTTTTACAAGTTTGATTTTCTAATTTGTTTTTTTCTTCGTCAACTTTTCTCTGGATCTTTGTCTGCAGGATCCCAGAAGCAATTTTGCCACCGAAAAGAACAAGTTTCTGACCAGTGTTCCCAAAGTCTATGCTGCAGGAGGTGAGCTTTTTCTGTTGCTTGAATGGTAGTGGCAGATGATTGTTGAAAAAGTTTAAAAAATAATGAACAAATTGTTCCATTTTGCCCTGTGTCTGTCCTGTAAGAGAACACAGAGGAGGTCAAAATGTGGTGAGAACAAAAACGTCACACATGAGGCGCATTACTGATGTTTTTACTTTTTAGATGATTTCGACGTCGTCTTCTGTTACGCTCTAGGGCTGACGTATCGAATATTTATGAATTAACCCTTTTCATTCGGACATCAGTATGCATACTCTCCATACTGTTCTCTATAAATTTCTCAAGGTGCTGACACGGAGAAAGTGTAACAATCAAGAGCTTCTTTAGTTGGTGATAATTTCCTTTATTCTCATGACCTTAAGGTTTGATTTAGGGGTGAAATTTACAATTTTTAAAAATTGTATGCAAGCCACTCTTCGAGTCAAAGGGTTAACTTTTGTTTTCCTTTCTTCAGATTGTCACCGCGGTCAGTCACTGATTGTGACAGCCATATCTGAAGGACGACAAGCGGCTCGTCAAATTGACCTTGATTTGATGGGTGAAACCTCATTGGCGGGTCCGGGGGGACAGATACATGTTATTCAACCCCGCCCCTCTGGAATAAAAGCGTCTGCTTAAAAAAAGTTTAACAAAAATCGCCCAGCAATTCCTTGCATGTTGCCGTCACCTAAGCAAGGTTGCAACGGGCTGTTTTTACCCTCTAAACAGATTGTCCTTTTAACGTAATTTAGTTTAAAATTTATCACGAAAATAATTTATCTCTTTCGAATTCGAGCAGGAGGTTTTCAATTTAGATTTTAACGTGTTAGAGAAAAAGTGTTCGTAGATTGAAGAATAAAAAAGTGAGAAAACGTAAAAAAAGTTCTTTACTTAATGTCGAAGCCAAGAGGACATTTATGTCCTTGGTACTGGGATATTTATTTATGTTATCTACGCGCCAATATTATCAATGTTATTAATTTATTTTCTCAATGAATGTCACTTAATATTAATATATAAATGTGTTTGAGGCTTAAGACGAATAAGTTATCAATCATAAAAGTTTTATGTGCTAGGTCTCGGTTTAAATTAACTTTTTATCTTAATAAATGAACGGTATGTGCTTCCATTCGTGTAATAGTACAAATTTAAGTACCTCTCAGATTATGAAAGTGTTGGTAGTTAGAGGAACACAGAATGTTCCGTGGTTTTTTAAAAGTATTCTTAGAAGTGCTCCGGTGAAGAAAACTGTCTGACGTACCTTAATTTAATTGTGCCATTATGTCGAGGAGTTTCTTAAAAGGGATTTGGAATAAATTTAGGCAGAAATGGTGCTACATTGTTGGTGTTTCACTGTTTTCAGGGAATGCTCAGTTACAGATACAGTAAAATTATAAATCTGGCACAGTAACAGTCGATCGCGGAAAGACAATTCACTCGCGAAGGAACGTTTTCGGTTGGTCACGCTTGGGACCAAAAAGTTACCTTAGAGTAGTAGAGCCTTGACCATCGGATCAGCTTTCCCTTTCTGATCACCCTCTACAAACGCAGTATCAAAACGCGAACTTGAAATTTTTCCTTAAGCTGTCGGAAGTTGTCGTGTTTTTCGTAGTTTACATCGTTTTTAGACCTGATTGTGTCTGTTTTGGTTCTTAACTGACGGAAAACTTATTTTGTTGGGGGGAAACGGGGACGGTAATGATAGGGCAGAGAGAGGACTACCAGGACCACCCTGGCTAAAATGAGAAGCAAATCAGCTGATAGGATCTTTCTCATCTTTCCGCTCGCCAAGTCAGCAGTTATTTCAAAAGGACTCGGGATAACGTTTAAGACAACAGCAACAATTGAATTTCTTAATATACATTTTCCGCTCTACAGCACTCTAATTAAAACTGCAGTTGCACTAGCTGTGGGTGAAACATTTTTGTAGTGTTGGTCTGAGGATTATACCAAAAATTACCAAATAAGAGTTCACTTATGTTTACAGCAGGTTACGCAAATAGGTTGTTTAGGCGTAGGTGACGTGCTTATGCAACTAACTGGGAGCGAAACAAATATTCAATTGACCAGTAGGTAGTATTGCCTTAACTAGTGCATCCTTGTGGTAACGCCCTCTGACGAGCAAGGGTACCATTGCTGAAGCAAGTAGCGCGTGCGATTCGGGTGCCATTTCGGCAAAAGGAGAAAGAACAGCTGCCTAAACAACCGTCACAATCCGTTCCAATTTCTTTATTACCATATTGCCAACAAAAAAGGCAGCATATCTGTTCTAATGACAATGCTTTTGTCGGACTATTTTTGCCAGTTCCTCAGCTTAATTAAAAAAGAGTTCAATGGCTCAGGTGGTGTCTTGTCAAAGAAAATCAATAGCGAAATAACCAAATAATCATTGCACTGCAATGTCTCCTCTCTTTGTTATCCTTTTCCTTTTTTTCAAAAGCGAGCAAGAAGATTAAATAAGGACCTTAAGGGATTCTAAAACTACAAGAAAAATTGCCACGCACAGGAAAACGTTTGTGATACTTGTAGTTTGAGGTAGCTATCTGTTATTTGTATTTTATGTTCCGCATTGTGAAAGTTGAATTTATTTTGACTCTTCCGTTTTCGCTGGGATTTCTTCCTTGGATTTCTTTAGTTCCAGAGAAGGCCAGTTTCCAATATCTTCTTTTCGTAGTTTTATCTCCACCTTTGTCTGGGATAACATCACTGAACTTTTTTCTGGAATAATCACCTTTAAAAAGAAACCATAGTGATAAGATTTAACTCCTTCCAACTAGAAATGTTTTGATCAATGTCAGTAAGTAAGCAACTATGCACTAGGCTGGGTGTGCAGTTGCTTAAATACTAACATTGATGTAAATGTTTCCTACTTGTCTGCTTATCTGAAAGTCTGTCTGGCAAGTATGTTAGGGTAACCAGGGATTTCATTGGGTTTTGCTAAACTGCACTCATACTGTTGTTGGTCAGGAAACTGTACAGCACCAACTTAAACGACGAGATTTGAATTGATACTGGTGAGCTGAAATGGCAACAAAACTGACTGCCAAGAAATAAACATTCTAACATAAACATCCAACACACACTTAAATTCAAGAGAGCATATTGTTATAATAGGATATTGTTTTCTCCCATATGGCCCTAACATATTAACTTTAAATCTAAAACAACCTTGAAAAATACAAATCCCAACAGGATCTAACAGATACGAATACCAATATAATAATTCATTTTAAAAACTGCTACAACACTGATTTGATTTTTTGTATATTGGATTTCCAAGCCAACTTTTCCAAAGTAATTTTAAATTACAACTTACCCCATGAAGATTGAGCTGAAGTTCAAATATATTTGAACCCCCAAACACCACATGGGCTTTAACCTGAAGTAAAAATAAATAATTGTGCTTTTCAGTTACTGCATTTTTGCAATTGAGCACTTATTTAAAATCTCAGCTAAAAAAAAGGGGGCCCTTGTTGGAGGTAGGGGGCTTATTATTCTCCTATACTGATTCTGCTTAAGGTAAGGCTTAAAAGTTGTAAATAGGAAAGGGTTTCTTTGTATCCTTACAATTTAAGAAAGTGAGGGAGGAGGGTGGTGCTTGTTTTACATTATCAAAGGGAGTGGGCTCTCATCTGTAAGGAAGGTTCTTATTCACAGCATGGGCACTTATTCACAAGGTATAATGGTAATGTGAGTAGAACAGTTTCTTGTCAGCAAAGTGTTGTAGACACAGGGAATTTGGTTGCCTATCATTTAACATTATCTGGCGGCTGACAGTTGGAAGAGGGTAGCTGCTCTTCACAGTTACTGGGAAGTCAGTGTGTAAGGTGCAGTTTGTCTTGTTAATTATCACTAGTCCGTATTGTTATGTGGAGTGACCTATATATTTGGACATATTTTCAACTTACAACTGTTTTATTTGCTTCTACAAAAGTTTGTTGAGGATCACTTAGTTTGGCAAATACTGAAATGACAATAAAATTTCCCATCTTGTACCAATCATACCTGAGAAAAGAACACAAATCTATGGTTGGTGTAGGAATTCTTTCATAAATGATCCATTCCCAGGATTTAAACTATGTCTCCCAACTAATAACAAATTTCAGTTTCTGTAATTTACTTACCTCCCGTCATCTGTCTGCCCATTAGTGTAATAACAAAAGGAGTAAAAGGGTTGTAAACATGACCAAAACAATCTTCTTTTAGCTCCACTGCAAATTTAGTACAGTGCCCCTCTGCTCAGGGTTATGAATTTACAATCCCTTGCACCCAAAGGTTTTGTATTTGAAAACACACCCAGAGTAGTATTTGCACTAATTTCTATCAGAGTTTTGTACAAGTAGATGTTATAAAAAGTTTGAAAAGCGACTAAAGTGAATGCATTAGTTAAATAGTGCTGACAAAGGGGAGCAAAGAGATTTAAATTTGGTTGATCTTGAGGGAGCTTGAAAGTTACTAATAAATCTTACCGACATAATACTCTTTTCTCTTTTTCCTGCAAATAAAAATACATCAATGAGATAAAAATCTAAATGTATGTATGATGCTAAATATAAGTATTTCATAATACTTTGTCCATTACAGCTCATGAATGGACCTTGCACAGCAAAAATTACAACAAACACATCAATTTGGATGTCACCTACCTCTTCTGTTAGTTCCCATCTGTGAGACCCTGAGGTGCATCCTTCCTGTTTCAAAAACTCATCAAAGTCTGTTGTTCGTTTCCGACAACAAGTCCAAAATTTATACCTGAAAACAGTTGAAAGTGTATTGTACTCCTTGTCAACAAATGGGTTAAGGTAAAGTCAATCCTTATGAACCCTGGGGTTCATACTGCTGAAGTTTAACCCTTCACTTCCAAGATCTCATTATCAATTCTCCTCTCTTTCCTCTGTACATTTCTTACCATTATATCTGTGAGAGTTTGATGTTAAATCAAACAATATTCCCTCATTGATATTTTTCTTTCTTCTTGTCACCTTTACTGTTGGATAATGTATTGACATTTTGAAAGTGAAATTACTCGCTAGGCATTCAAGAGGGTGAAAGGGCAAGTTGAGTTCAGGTACGAAGAGACAGGAAATAAAACAAGTCCATCTCCGGGACTCTCCCTAGAATTTTGTCATTATTCCCTGACAGTTTTCCAGAACCGGTTATTCTCCTGGGTGGAGAGAAGTACTGTGAATGTCTGATGCCTTGCCCAAGAACATATGAAAGTGATCCAGTCTGGGCTCAAATCTTTTGATCCAAAGCCCTGAGCAATAGTGGCCAAGCAGCCATTTCTCTCAACATGAGTTGTTGTCAAAATGTTTTGATTCCCTAACTATGTAGAGAATTGCCCTTCACCCTTTACACCCTAACATCAGTATGCACATTCTCCGTACTGTTCTCATTACATTCACAATGGTGCTGATGAGGAGAATTTGTTGGACAGTTGAAAGCTTCCTAAGTTGGCAGTCATTTCCTTTTTCTTCATAACTTTAATATTAGATCAGGAGTAATATTGTGAAGAGAAATTAGATGCTAGTCACTCTCAGGACTTAAAGGGTTAATAGGAAAAAAGCGCTGTGCAATCATTTCCTAGGGTAGAAAAACACAGGAGAGTTAAGAGCAATTTAAAACTAATTTTGTCTATCAAAGTTGACAGTTCCTTACCCTTCGTGAAACACTGGTACTCCATAATGATGCCAACACTTATCATCATTTGTACTTTCATCGATATATGACTGAAAAATAGCACAACAAATAACAGGGTTAGAAATCTGTTTCAAAGGTTGACTTATCCCACCAGTAAATCTGAAAAACTTACTGTAGTACATCCACTGTTCTTGCAAGTTGTTCCAGGTTTAATTCCGCCATCAGTTTCACTACCTGAAATAAAATAATCCTTGTTTCCAAGGTCAGCCACAACTTTTAAACACCCTTTAACGGCATTTATACAACCCCCCCCCCACAATATTCTCATGCTATACAACTTTTACACCATAAATTCATTTTCCCAGTGAGTCTCATTATCTGAAAAACATTTTTAAGTCACTCACATTCACAAACTCCAGGTTTATCCTTTTCTTGTTCTTTAAGTTTTACCAAGGCTTTCTTCAAAGAATCTGCTACTGTCATTTTAAGTTTTATTTTAGGGAGGTCATCACTGAAACAAGAACATTGACAGTATTATTTAAAACATAAACACTTTGGGTAAACTTTGTTGTAAAAAAAAAAATAAAGAGAAAGACCTTTTTCATTCCCATTTCAACTCTTAAACTCCCAGAAGTGATCAACATGTAACTTCTTCCAATTATTTCTATACATTATCTGGCAAATTGGTAATGAGAATACTCAAGCTTATAAGGTAGAAGTTGTTATCTTTATCCAACAAAAATTCTAGTGAATAATTAACAAGGAACTCTATAGCAGCTTGAGGGCATGGTAAATGTCGTTAAAAATCAAAGCTGTAGCATTGAGTTGGTACAAATATACCTTGGTCTTTCTGCAGGTTCAGTTGGTATTGGTTTTCGTTTAGGTGGTTCAACTTTAATCACCTGAAAATAAAGGGTACCATTATATGTTAATAAAGACACAATGGAATCATAAAAACCCAGCCCTGAAAAGCAGTCGTTGAAACTCACCTCATCAAGTCCAAGAGCCTTATCATCTTTATTTGGTTTTTCTGGTTCTGGAGGTTTCACATTACTATGATGTGATTTAGTACAACCCTAGCAGAAAGAAAATATGTTAACAAATCTGTTCCATGTTTACATAATTTGTTTGCCACATTTTGGGTTCTTATGCCAGTTTCCATTAATAAATGTCCATAACAAAACATAAACCATGGTTATCTTAACTTACCTTAATGTTTAAGAATTCTGTAAAATCTGTAACTCTTCTCTTGCAACAGGACCAGCCCTTCAAATCAAAGCAAATTCTTTTTGTCATCTTTTCTTTTTTTTCTTCAGTTCTTTCAGACTATGATCACCACATATTTTATACCTGTATCCAATACACTCTTTTTTTTTTTAATTTGTTGTTTGCAAATGGCCCTATTGTCAAAGTAGATGTAACTAACAACATTTAATCCTTTTCACTTTCAGATCTCATTAATAATTCTCCTTAGTGTCTGTCTTAAAATTGGAGAATTTGGTTCTGGATCACCTATGAATCTCATAACTGATAATTCAATTTATTCTCTCTTGTTGTCTGTTTGATATTGTTAACAGAAATACTGCCTTGGTTACTCATGGGAGTAGACAGTTAATAAGCAAGCTTACTATGGTGGAACCTCCTGTAATGGACCACCTGAAATGTCAAGTCTGGCTGGTTGCTCACAGGAGGTGGTTGCTTACCAGAGGTCATGCCACAGGGGGTCTAAAATTTGGGTAATTTGCACGTGGTGACCAGATACTTGTAACAGAGCTAATCTAAACCTACAGTTATGCACATACATGTCTAGTGTTCACAAGATCAGAGTTTTTTTTCCAACAAGTGATTAAATATGGATCTGTATTTTATCAATTCTTCCGATGCTTTATTCATGTTGTTAAAAGCTACTTTGAAAAACACTTCCAGTAGCTCCACTTTTACAACATCTGTTGAAAAAAATTTTCAGTTTCTACTTGTGAGAGATAAAGCCAATTGTCTGTCAAGTGGTCGTCTATGGGAGGTTAAAAAAATTAAAAATTGTTAATAAACAACCCTAAGAGTGGTTGCTTACGAGAGGTGGTTGCTTACGAGAGGTGGTTGCTTATGAGAGATGGTGACATAAAGAGGGTTGACATTAGTTAGGAATGCAGAACTGAATTACAAATAACCCTCTCAGGTATATAATGATTTATCCTGGAGAATCTTGCAATATAAACGTACTGTCTAACCTTCAAAGCATCATGAAATACTGGACAACCTGGATGATGTAAACACACATCTGTAAAACAATAATATCACCTCTTTACAACAGACATTCAGGATAATATCAGAAAAGAAAAAAAATATCTCTATACAAGCTTAAACAAGTGTTATAGTTATAACCAAAACTAAAATAACCTGTGTCATAAAATAAAAAGAGTTAATGCGAGCTTGATTAAAAGGCCATTTGGGTTGTCACTTTTGCAGCTTGGGGAGATTTAGCATGTTGTTTGGTCAACTATTGCTATGTATAGTTTTCTTCGATTTCAAAAATGCCGTTAAACGTTTTACTTTTAACCAATGCTATTTGGGTACATCCTGGACAAACACGCATAGTGGTACGCATATTGCGTATGTAAAATACAATGTAACTGTCGGATAGCAAAAAGGCTGAAGATCGCTCCAAATATATACAAAATCACAATAGAAAATATATATCACTTTTAAAATTGATCGAAAAAGTAGATTAAGGAATAGTCGACATTATTGAACGAGTGGGAAAAAAGTTGTAAAGTTTTGAGTATCACACAAACGACAAGACACTTCCTACTTGGCTTGTCAACTGTCCAACGAACAATCATTACCTTCTCCATTTTCGTCGTCTTTGTATTGTTTTCCACAACCCTTATTGTAACATAGAAGCAGTTGATCTGTCGACATTATTTCAGTAATACCTTAAATGCTACAGGCAAAGATGGCAGATATTTCCCTCTGATCTTCGAAATAGGCCGGTGGAAGGAGCATTCAGAAATGAATCACATGTGCTAAACTGGTAACCGCTGACAGGCACACTTCCAAACAACGCGGATACACTCATAGGACCTCAAGAATATCCTTCAATCCTTTCCTTCAGGTAAACTCCTTCCCCAGCTTAAATAATTTCAAAAAATGATTTCATCAGCCATAAGGAACATGTTAAGGCAGATTACTTCTCATTTCTGAAATCTGGTGGGGTGTTGGGGAGGGGTGGGGGCAGGTGGGAAAGGTTCAGGGAAAGGGAGGAGTTGTACAGCCCCAAGGTAGACTATCCTGAAAAATTGCCTAAAGGATTCATCCCCCAAACCCCTCCCCACATCCCCACAGGTAATAAATTAAGAATTGATTTGACTGTGACAAATGATTAAATAAATTGTGGAAAGCCACTTTTACTAACGTTACAGCCAAAAAAGATTCCTGATAACATTTTTGTGTGAGAGGGAGTAATTGTTAAATGGGAAGTGAGTTGAGAGATGGGTAAAAAAACAGAGTTGTGTATCAAATTTTTGAAATTAATGCTTTATTTTTTAACACTCCAAATCACACTGTATCACATCATGCCAGGAGTTGTTTTTCTCCATCATATCACAATTTTCCCATCAGCACTTTTACCAATGTGGAACAGAATTCTCTAATTTAACACAATTTGCAACTTCCATGGCAGGCAATGAGAAGGCACACAAGATTCATGCAAGAGAGCACACATGCATGAGAAAAGTCTTTTCATTGTCAAAATCATTCCTCATGTGAATTAACCAAAATCATTAGTACACAGGTTACACCCTTTCACTCCCCAGATCTCCAGAGAAATCCTCTTCTCAACCTCCATACATTTTATAATATGTCAGTTCTGAGATTTTTGTTTTAATCAAAGAGTATGTCCTTGTTGATATTTTTCTTTATGCTAAACACCTCTCTGCTGAATAGTATATTGATATTGTAAGGAGAAATTACCTCTTGGTCACTTCTGGGTGTGAAAAGGTTGATAAGGCACCTATTACAGATGATGCAATGTTGCACACTGGCAAGTTTACAAAGGAGATCATAAGCCAATGAAATACATTATGGAAAACTGAATTGGGAATGCATTTTTGAAATTCACATGAATGTTGCAGTTTATAGCAACACATTTTTAAACTTGTTCACTTTTGATTCTTTCATGTACTATCTGTTTCTCTTTTTAAAAAAAAAAAAGAAAAGCTATTTTTATTTAAGTTATTTAATATCAAAATACATTGTATTTTTTTGGTGTGTGATTCCAAGTAACCTAATGCTTCTGTGTTTAATTCATTAAGCTATTAATTCAAAGCCCTCATTCACCAAAATAAATTAAACCTTCCAAATGAAGTATTTTGAAATTAAACCTTTTTCTTTATCAACCTTCTTTTTTATTAAAGGGTGCAGTTTAATTATGTCACCATTTTCTCTCAAAAATTAATTCAAATTATTGGCATAATAATAATTGTTGCATTTTAAACCCCACAAAAAGTAATACTAACAAACATTACCGTCTTCAAAAAATAATTTTATAGCTAAAACACCAATACTCTCCAAGAAAATGAAAAACAAAGAGGAAACTTCTTACTGAACATCTGGTAGTAAGGAGCTATAAAAGGTATTGAATTTTAACCTATACCCCCAAAATGGTTTTTGTAAATCCAGTGATTCCTCATTGGTTTGAAGTGGTGTTGATTTTATGTCATTACTTATTTCCTTCAACATTTTCCTGATTTCTGTAACAACTATCTTCTGCTCTAGCTTCCCCTTACTGGCTTTATGTGTCACTTCATTAAAAGGAAAGGCAAGGATGCAATTACCAATTTTAGGCTGAAGTTTTACAATGACCGAAGTTGCTTTGTTTCTAGGAGTTCTCCCTGTAGGGTGCCTTGAGTACCTTGAGGAAATGTGATGCAAGGTTTTTTGACTTCTGTTGGACAAACTCTGGTTATCAACCAACTGAAGAGAGTTAAGTGATGATGCTTCTGAATAGGATCGACGAAAGCGCAAGTGAGGAGGCAGTTGGTTGCTCTTGTTTGCAAATTGAGATAAATGTAGAGATGTCTGACTTTCAGTTTGACCTCTCACTGTTGACAAAGAAGATATTTGTTCACCTTCTGCGCAACTTTTTTCAACTTCTTTTGTTGGATCTGTGGAAAGTGAAAGATTTTCTTCTGCAAATGTGGCACAATCGGGGTTACTTTGAAAACCAATGTCATCACATGATGCCACTGTGTTTTTGTTCATTTCATCTTGATCAGGTCCATTGCAGTTGATTTTTCCAGCTTTGACAAAATACTCTGAAGTGCTGAATCTTCTATTACAACAAACACTGCTCTTGGAGGATGGTAGTTTGCTGTTGTGATTGCAGTTTGCTGCTTTGTCGTTTTTGCTGAAAACAGACAGAGTAACATCACTTTTCTGTCTTCGAAGATAGCTTGGCCTTTGATTTTGAAGACCCATGTGAGCATACTGCTTATTTGCATCTGAAACTGGCTTCTTGACAAAGTCAGCATGTTGCTTAAATCTGCATTCTGCTTCCAGTGAAGACAGATCATAGCCAATTTTGGATTTTGAGGACAGGCTTTTACCATTTCTTGCTGTGCCACTTTTTACACTGCTTAATTTCAACCCCTTTTGTCTGGTTGAATTACTTCCTCTTTCTGTTTCCCCTCTCTTGATGTCCACCTCAGTAAAGTTTAGGCTCTCCAAAATATCATTCAACAATGGTTTCTTAACTATCTCATCTTGACTGCAATCATTACCAAGTGCTGGTGAGAAATTCACTTCCAATAACCATGGCTTTAATTTTTCATCAATGAGAACGTCAAAGCCAAATAGCTCAAAACAGTTTGAACTATTACTAGGTATGTCTTGCATTTGTGAAAGCAGTGTGATGATTATAATGGATGTAATGCGGTGCCATAACAGGCGATCATCAATGTTATGTTTGTGAAAGAAATGACGCAGTTTACTCAGTGTCCACTTACAACCAGTTCCAATGCTTTCTTTTTCTGCGGAATATTGTGGTCCAGTTTTGTTAATACTGGTGTTCGTAAGATGCGAAAAGCGATTGTCAAGTGAGGACAAATCAAATCTTTCTGTGCTAAACCGCACAAGACCCTCATGATAGATGTAAAGAAGGAAAGGATGATATGATGTTACTATTGCATACAAACGCAAATCAAATTTGTAACCCGAGATAAGAAATGGTTTGATAATGTATTTTTGCACAACAACAGCACAGTCATAAGTGAGATCATGTAGATCTTGAAAAATAAAAATACCTCTCCCACATGATTGCTCAGTCGGCTTGCAAATCCAGTAATTGGATGTTTGGCCGCCATCTTGGTTAGAGAATTCTGCAACAAACTTTCTATACTCATTAGGCAGAATAAATGTTTGTGGGAAAAACTCAAACATGGAGCCTCCATAGGACATTCTCATTCGCCGAAGATTTCTGGCTAAACCATCTTTTTTTGTGATATTTGTCGATTTTGGGAAGTGGTTCAGGCGTTGCCAGGGACGACAGTGTTCGAATTCGCCTGAAGTAAAGCCCTGAGTTTTCCACCACAAGTTCCACTCGCCATTCGATTCACTTCTACTTTCGTCGTATTCTTCCCATCCACGTTCCAAACAAACTTCTCTAAGAATATCCGGCGCTTTGTCACAAAGCCGGAATACAACGGACGCCATCAGTTAATAATTCCATCAAAATCTTCAAGGCCTTAAGCTCAAAGGATCAAAATCTGATGGTAAGTTTTCATAACTGTTCTTTTGACAGCAGAGAGCAATGATTAAAAGACAATATGGCAATCAGACATCAAGCCATTATTTCGAGATTTTTGCGTTGGTCTATTAAATATTAAACTTTGGGAAGTCGTTTTCGAGTACCGGCAGGTGATAAGAACTTTGTGACGTAACTTTTTTCAAGATATCACCTAGTCAGCGGATCAGTATCTCATTCATTTAACAACCAACAGATCATCTACTTTGCACGTGTGTTAAAATGGCTACCGGTGGGAAAGAGCTGAGTCAGATGTCATGCGAAGATTTTGGGGAATTCAAGGTAGCTTACCCTACTGTAATGTTCAAATACATCGGCTGTAATATTGTTTGTGTTAAGGTGCTAATATTTGAAAAACAGTGCAACAGTGCATTTGCATTCAGTTGCATTGCTGGGCAACGTAGTCCAATATTTAAGAGGCCAGAGCTCGATCTCGTCAACTGCCTTACCCGAAATTTATAATTATGATAGGCATAGCATTTTACTGTCATTCTCTGTCAATTAACCGCAACTGATCACTATTGAAGGGTAAAGACGAACGGTTGAAGAGTTCTACGGATCTGGACCTCTGCTGGATACAGTTTATGAATTTAGATTTTTTTTCCATGGGGAGGAGGGGGGTGGAGGCAGAGGTTGTTGAGAGGGTGTGCTGATGGGATTGTGATATCCTTACAATATACCAGACTCTAAGGTAGTGCCATGTTTGTTTGGACCCTTTAACTTGAAGAGACCCAATCAAACTTACCCTATTGCAGATTTACCATTTTCAAGAAAACTTATTACTTTGTAGTCCCATACCACCAGAGTTCTTTTCCCAAAGAGGCCCAAAGAGAAATTGTGGGAATCATTATCATAGGGAAATTCTCCATATCATGAAAAGTTGCCCTGTGAAATGTAACCAAAATTTTTCATACTAATCTGCTACATCCAAACCCTAACCCAGACCCTATTTAAGACGAGAAACATTACCACATTTTGGGACCAGATATGAAAAAAATTTACTGGAAAGGAACCAGAATGGATCAATCACTATGAGAAAAATGAGCTTATTTCTGTAGCCTTAGGTGACCAAGAGAATTGCTTCTCTTCATGGATGTAATACTAACCTTTCAGCATTTTGTATTCTTCAGTGGAGGGAGATGCTTTTAGAGGGGAGTGTCTTCCCCATAAAAACATTTTTAACCCTTAAACTGTTAACAGTGTCTAGCATCTAATTTCTCCTTACAATATTACCTCTGAATCACACCTAAAGGATACACAAATAAAGGAACTGATCACCAACTAAAGATGCTCTTGATTGTTAAACAAATTCTCCTTGTCAGCACCTTAGAAAATGTACATAGATAAGTATGTAGAATATGCATACTGATGTTAGCATGTAAAGGGTTAAAATGACTCGGTCAGAGCTTGATGCAGGAACTTGTATCCAGAGTATGGTGTGTTGACTATGAGGCCCATGGATCTCTCATGAAGAAAAGCCAAAATAAAATAACTTTTTTGTTTACCTGGTCTTATTGCAGGAAGCATTGAAGGTTCTTAGACTTGTTGATGATACAATCATTTACAAATTAAACACAAGTATTCCAACAGATTCCTTTGTTGGAGAAATCAATGCTGAACAAAAATGTCAAGAACTTTATAATGAGGTAAATAAGAAACAATATCGAGGTGTATTGCTATAACCATCAACTTGTTTAAAAAAAAATGGCTTAAGTGTTTGGATCAGTAAGTTTATTAAGATTATAAGGATATACCTGGGTTGACTCAGTTGTTGTAATAACAAGGAGGTTATAAGCACTTTGTTAGTAAACACCAAAGATGGGAGACTTGTCTGCCTGCTACCCAGAATTCTAAGAGGAATATTTTAACATCCTGAGGGATTTTCTTTGTGCAGATGTGATGGAGAATATGCTTGTGTTACTTTGCACTTTTTCCTCTGCTACAATTCTGTATGAAAACCCTTCATACTGAAGGGTCCATGTTAATTAGATTGTCTACTTAATCTTTACCATCATTGTTATTAATTTGTCTTGAAAACAGCAGCTTCTCACTCATTAGTGTAATTGCTATTAAGGATATCGTCGAGCTTCTGCTTGTTTTTTGTGAAAAAAAATTGTTTAGTTTAACATCCCATTTGAAGCATAACCATCATAGACTACTTGTCAATGGAAAGGTTATGAGATGCACTATGTGACAAAAATTGTTCTGTTTTAGCTTGATCTGGTTGTAACCTGACCAAGGCGCAACAATTTGAAATGGATTGTGAGGCCAAGTTTGTTTTTAGAAGTCCTCACCCATTTTCAGTCCCATGGCAAGTTCCTAAATAAGGCCAAGTAATGAGGCTTTCAGAAATAGATGAAGTAGCACTGACAACATTGTACATTATTGTTTGAGTGACTCAGTTTAAATTATTTTTACTACTTTATTTCATTTTTTTTCTTTAATCTAAAGTTGATGTCAGGTTACAAGACAAGAGATCAGGCCATAAAGAAATGCATCACAGAAGTTTCTGAAAACACCAAACAACTTAGAGAAGAAACAGAAAAGAACCCTGAGAATGGTCAAATTATGAGAAATCTTAAAAAAGAACAAACAAAGGTAACAGCAATATGAAGGAGTGGGAATTTGATAATGGGAATTTAGCAGTATACATTCCATAAAGTGGCTCTTTTAGTCCACTGTTTGCAGGTCATATTGGAATGTTGAATGTTGGTTTTCATGGAGGGGGGTAAAGCGAAAGACCCAGAGGAAAAACCCATTGATAGCAGGGATGAGAAGCAACAACAAACTAAACCCACCTGTGAAGCCAAGTTTGGGAATCGAACCCTGGCCACAGCAGAGTGAATCAAGTGCTCTCACTACTATCCTATCCCTGCTCCCCTATCATTTTTCCTCAACATCATCCAGCTAAAAGCCTGTTACTCGTAGTATACAAACCATACCTGTGGAATTTTAACTCTTTTCTTGAGTGGACATTCAACTTTTTTCAAATTGATTTGGATGAGCTCTTTGCTGTGTGAGAGAAAATACTCTCTATGCAATTGATAGTGAGGGTCAAAGCTGGAAAGTTGGTTGGTATATTCCAGTTTTTCCTGTCATTAACTCTTCAACTACCATGACTGACCAAAACATAATTTCTTCTTACCACAACAATGCTGTGTCAAGCAGACAAAAGATGAGAAGAAAGAAAGATATCAGTAGGTGATTATTTGTTGATCCAATACCAAATTCTCCAAAGTAACGTCATAAGTATTGAATTGCAGACAGTAAGTAGAATTTATAATTAAATCTTTGGAGGGTGAGGTTATACACAAGCCTGATCACTATCAGACCCTTGAAGGATTCTTTCCAGCTTACATGGCTTTTTCTGTTCATTTACAGCTTAGGTTAATGCAAACTGAACTTAGCGTCGAAGAGGTTTTACAAAATAGGACCCTTAAGGTGGGTTTTTACAAGATGTCTTTTGCACCTTGTGCTCCATTCCATGCACAGAATGAAGTATTGATGTCTGTCAATACTTTTAACCCTTTAATCCCTAAGGGTGACAAGGTTCTAATTTCTCCTTACAATATCACCCTTGAATAAAAGGTTTAAGTCACGAGAATAAAGGAAATGATCAGCAACCAAAAAAACTCTTGATGGTTTTACAAATTCTCCCTGTTAGAACCTAGGAAATGTACAGAGAACAGTATGGAGAATATGCATAATGATGTTAGGGTGTAAAGGGTTAAATATTGAAGGAGGAACGTAAACAAGATTACAGAATTTTAGAATAGGAGTGATGAGTGAAGTTTTATTTCTGTCATGATTATAAAGACATTGTAGTTTCTAATGTTTTTGTTTGTAATACTTGAACAATATCTTTGCTTCACCATTGGAAATGTGTTTACCAGCATCTCACCCGAAACCATGGTGTCATATTGATAAAATTTTTAAACTATTTTCCCATTTTTGACTTTCTGTTTTTGACTGTAAAATTAATATTAACTCTTGTTTTTGCATCACAGGCTTTTAATGGACGATGCTGGAAGTATTTCAAACCACAATGATGTCTGCAACATACAATTACAATTAATTCAGTTGATTTTAACTTGTATCTTATCCCATGTATGTATTGATTTGATGGGTGTTTCTGTTACTCAGTGGGACTGCAGTTTAGGTAGAGGGGCCAGTGAAGGTTATTGACTTTGTTGGACTACACAGACAGCAAAGCACCACAGTTGTCTATCTTTTTTCTTCATACTTCTTGATCAAACAACAGAGCCTGTAAATATTTCTTTTTCCATTTTCCTGTGTTTTTCTGGAAGTTTTTCCTTTGGTTATTAGCGATGGTTGTCTGTTGAGTTCTAAACTAGGATCACAGTTGATGCATTCAAACCATACTGTCCTTTCTAGCAAAGCACTTGTACCAAATGCACTTAAATAATGGTGAAACAAACCTTCACAATTAACTGTTTTGCTGTTTATGGTAGTCTTGGGTATTTCATTACTCTAGTCATTGACTTATGTTTAAGGTGACTTATTTGATCACTAGCCTTCTTCACAAATTTGTGATTTTAAAATATTGTGAAGCAAGTTATTAATCACAGTGATGAGGTTGAAGCATTGTGTAATTCTGGGCCTTAGAGTATCATTGAAAAAAGTCTTGTGGGGGAGGGCACCACAGAGTTCATGATCACTGGTCCCTAATGATAGTTTGGAGAAAATAAAAGCTGTTAGAATAATGCATAACTGACGAGTCTCAATGGAAACCTGGGTTGTTTGGTAACTATTAAAAAGACAAATAATAATATTGATAATGCTCTGTGTTTCTTCACCAGAGTTAGCATTCAGAGCATCTTAATTGGAGTTGTTTCTTGGCTGCTGCTCTATATGGCTCATTGATATGCACCAATTGTTAAAACAGATTCAATTTAAAATAAATATTTTGTACAGCATGTTTTACTTATGTTGTCTTTAAGAAGTCAAAGTTACCAGTAATTACATATTTCAATTTTTCTGATTTACCATTGTTTGATAAGAAATGCCCTTTTGAGTATAGTGTTTTTGTCAATGGCTTTGTTAAAAAGACTGCAACCAATTGTCATAAGTTGGTTATTAGTAAGGGATTCCTCACATGGTCAAACATCATTATGAGAGAGACTTTTATCTCATTAAGGGGGGGTATTGGGAAAAGAGAACTTAAACATGCTCTCCACAAGTTACATCAGATCACATTCTCCGCAGTGGGAACAATTTTCATTAAAGGAGACCTTGAATTATAGATCACATCAATTAAGTGGTTGGTAAACTACATGTGGGTCCACTGGATTAGAAAGAGGATACTCATTGACTGTTTTGAACCTTTACCAATTTCAAACCTTCAGGCTGGGTCATGGCATTGTGTACTTGGGAAGGATAGTTGACCCTTGCAGTGCTACTCTCCACCCAGGAGTATACAAAAGGGTAATCACAAACTGTAAAATTAGGGAAACCTGTAATGGACTATTATCCTATCCAGTCACATGCTACAGAAAACAGGACAGGCTCCAGCAGAGTGGGCCACTAGGCTTGAGCGCAGACATTGCCTTTTTTGACCCATCCCAAAATCTGCTTATCTTATCAAAACACATAATCTCCTTCTCCTTCAGATACGTTTATTGATTAACTAAAGGATGAGAGTTCATGTAAAGTCCTCTACATGTAAATGTTGATGGTCTGTCATCTTCATTCAGCAGCAGTTTCACAATTACATAAATAGTGAATTGATATTAAAAATTTATGGTTCAAGTATGTTTACATCTGTAAGGTCCTGTGACCTGTTAAGCATAAGGTGCCAACAGCCATAAAAAGGTATTAAATTCAGAAATTAAATTAATAAAAAAGAAAAAAGGTATTAAATCCAGAAAAATTAATTATTGCACTTTGACATGCTTTGGTATCTAACTAAATTACCATTATTCTAATTGGTCAAAAAAAAAACTGAATTATGAGTTAAATTTAAAAATAGTCCAGGCTGTCTCCCTCTGACAATTCAGTTTTGATGGCTGTTAACTCAAGTGTTGATCCAGCATGTGGTAAAGTTTTGTAAATACGCAAATGAACATAAGACAAGTCACCCACTTTCACCTGGAAAAACAAATGGAGGTTATCATGGAATAAGATGGTTCTAGGTTACTACTTTAATTTTAAATGTGAAAAGAAAGATAAAACAAACAGTTTTTTGAAATGAATGATCTTTAAAAACCTGCCTTAGCTTTTGGGCTAGAGTCTCTTAACAACCCAGCACCCATCCAGCAGGAGCTCATTCTAGTTTTCAGAAGATTAACTAAGTAACTAGGAATATTGCTTCTCCCCTTGGATGGGAGGCTGGTCAATTACAGTTTACCCTTCAGAAGTTTTACTAACAGTTTGAGAGTACCCATCTATAATCCTGCGAAGAGAGAGGAACTGTAAGAGTTTAGTGTCTTGCACAAGAACACATCGCAATGGCTGACCAGGTCTCAACTTCAAACCTTTTCACGCAGAATACAGCATACCCATTGTTACCATCAAATCTTTCTTGATGATTCATAAGGGGCTAGGCCCTAAACAACTACTTCCACCCACCCCACCCTGATGAGTACCTCATCCTTTGGTTGCTTGGCCTCCCCTATGGGAAGGGGAGACTTATTTTGACCATTCAAAACCTCCCATCAGTATAAATCCACCTGTGATAATTTGAAGCATAGAAAGCCTTAACATTGCATGACATCTATACAATTATCAAATACAAACCTTCACAAAGTAATTTGTACCAGCAACAAGTTGAGTTCTATAAGAAATGGCTTTAAATTCATTAAATGTTGTACCAGCTTTTGCCTCAGCTTGGCTCTTCACCTTAACAAAAGAAGTACCACAGATTTTTCAAATAAGTCATTATTAACAATGGTGACAAATCTTATGTTTCTCCAGACCAGCACCTCTAATGAAGTGCATAGTTTGTGTGTATAAAGGGTGGTTAGGACAAAATGGCACAAAATTTTAAAACCTTTTTTTTAATTAAAATTCATACCTATGGTAACTCTGACTGAATTGGATCATTAAAAAGTGCTACTCTGACGAAAATCCTTACATGTGGCTTCAAACAAGCCCCAAAATTAAACAATACTTCAACATCAATTAACTTATTCATTCAAAAATTCATTCATAAATTCAACCTTGTTTACATTTTTCTGTTTTTTTTTTTTTTTTCTCAAAAAGCCAACTTACTGAGAATGTATGGGAGCTACCTTGAACTTTGGAAAAAATACAATAAGTACTTTTCTACACACCTGATTTAGAATTACTTAATATCTATGAATTCATATGCATATTCACAGCCCTTCATGAAACATGATCCATGATGAGATCTAACCTTACATCATGTGAGGAGGGGGGTGTTGAGATTTTTGGTTATGCACTCATCTTTTGGATTTTTTTTTTCTTTTTTCGTTTTGGCAAGGAAAATCTTTGATGAGAGATTGCAGTTTTTCCTCTTAATGCATTTAGATTTTTCCTTTAAGCAAAAAAATGCAAACAGTCTTCTTTGATTGGCATGCATTTTTGGCAGGAGTTCCGAAACAAACCAGATAATTTTCTGCATAGAGGGTTACTTGTTTTAGATAAAGCCAGGGACTTTGTCCACCCACTGACGAGCATTAAGGTCAGACTTCAAAATATTTCTCACCATGCGTCTACAACTGAAGAGGGTGTGCAGGAAATTGTGGACCGAAATTCTTTGATGGAGAGGGGAAAGGCGCAGATAATTTTACAACGATGACCAGGTTAAGATGCTGTAATGGTTAACATGGTTGACAGACCTATCACAGCTCCCACACTCGTCGCATTCGGGATTTCAAATTCTGAGTTAAGATTTATTTTTAACTGTAGCATGATTTTTTTTTAACTTCTTGGTAGATAATTCAGCTAAACTTCTGTTATTTGTTACAAATCCTATCTTTTTGACATCCTTCTGTGGTATATCAAGCTTTGCTTTGTATTTTAGCGAGATGTAGTCCGGCCAAACTTCTTATGGTGAGAGGAAACAAGCTACACGTATTGTTCAGATACGCTACGTGAAGAAATAAAGTTAGTAACTAAGTATATCACGCACTTGCGCTTGCTACAGTTACGAGTTCTAAACAAACCTCGTTGACAATCGTTTGCACTTCTTCATTAGCCTTCATTTCCTGACCAGGTGCACCACAAGCCATTTTGTATTCAGATCAATCTCGCGAAACTACAGGTGATCTTAAAGACACGACAGAGCTATGTCGAAACAGAAATGTTGCAAATACTTCAGGTGACAGTCACCTGATTTCAGTACGAATAACCTGCCTTGCCTTGTAACCTACCCTGAGTGAACGACTGAGAGGCTACAAAGCAATATGGCGGACGTCAAAGCAGCAAATAAGTTACGATGGAAGAAATCTGAAAAGTATCGCCGAATACGGCGTAAAGAAACACGGGCGAAAGAAGATAAAGAAATCAAAGAGTTAGAGGATCGTTGCAGAGATGTGAGTTGTTATTATGATGATTGATTCTTGAAGATTTAATGATTTGTTAAAATGTGTTTTCGTTGCACCAGACTTCCACCAGAAACACGTGCTTCAGTTTGTTGTACGTTCTAATGTCATTTGACCCTATATAGCGTGATATTGCTAAGGTGTGATTAATTTTAAAGCAAGGTTATCTGTCAGTGCAAAGACAAGTTGTATTACACGGCAAACTTGTCGCTTAAAAGGCTAAATGTAAATTTTTTTTCCTTTTATTAAGATCTTGAAGTAACATTTTGTGTTCATATCTGTGAAAAAATATCTCAGGAAACAAACAAACCAAACAAACAAAAATAAACCAAAGGATTCTTTATAACCTTTGTGTTAATAAAATGGCTAGGATACAAATCTTTCCTGACCAATCGTGAGAAAAAAATCAAAATGAAAAAAAAGTAGTCATACCAATACCAATAATGATGATGATATAGAACAAGAAACTCTCTTGTGGAATATTACTATGAAAAGTGCAAAATTTTAGGAACCATGCATCTCCCTTATACAGTAGCTTGAAAATCAGTATTCATTATCAACATAAGTTACTCTCTTGAAATCAATATGCTGCTGCCCAGGATCTGCTTAAGAACAGAATTAATTGAAATAAACTGATGAGAAGATTTTTTTTCCCTAGCCATCTGATAAACAATATGGCACAAAAGACTCAGAAAGCAAGGAGAGTAAATAATTACAGTTGCGTAAGTTTAAGGATAAACAAATTACGCCATTATCTGGATAAATAGTAGTTTTATATGTAATTTCAAATTATAAGCAGCAAACCCTCTTGTAGGAAAAAAATTCTACATCCCAAACATCTTTTAGTTTTGTCATTCATCTGTTAATTTAAGTGCAGACAAGCTGCCTGCTATCCAGTTTAATGCTCAATTTGTGGTACCTAAAATTTTTCATCTCTGACTTCAGTGATTTGACTGTTGCTCCTTGTGTCTGTTCCTTTAGCTAGATGGTTTAGCCAATGTGTCAAAGTTTTCTGATCTACCTCTCTCACAAAGAACACTTCAAGGTATTGCATTAGTTCATAGCTGTTACACTCATTTGAGTTTGTTGTATGTTATTTGCATTAGTCTTTTCTTTACCATAAAATTATTCTTTAAACCATTTTAATTTTTTTTTCATTTGTAAGGCTTGATAGGTGCTGGCTATCTGATTCCAACTGAGATTCAAAAGGCTGGAATACCTATCTCCTTAAAAGGCCATGATGTTTTGGGAGCTGCCAAAACTGGTTCTGGGAAAACCTTAGCTTTTCTTATTCCCGTGAGTAAGGTTATTCAATTTTGTTTAATGGATACTTTTGCTATGTTTTGATAATATTAAATCATTAACAATATTTCATCAGGTAATTGAAGCATTATGGAGACAGCAGTGGTCATCTATTGATGGTTTAGGTGCCCTTATAATCTCTCCAACACGTGAACTTGTGAGTAGGAAAATGCCACCAACGTTATAAATCAGTTATTTTAAATTTTATTGTTTGTACCATATCTGTTTAATTTGATAGCCTCAAATGGAAATGCAAACTATACAGGAAGAACTTCAACTTTGAACAGTGTCAAGTTAATATGCAAGTAGCAAATGAATATAGAAAGTTATACCTAACCTTGCAAGCTTATAAGGCTGTCAGTAAAAAAAATTATAGAAGCTAAAAGGTCTCAAAAGCTCACACTTTGTTTCTTACTTGTATAATTATAATGATTTGTCTGTTTGTATGTAGGCATATCAAACCTTTGAAGTATTATGCAAGATTGGCTGCAAACATGATCTCTCAGCTGGTCTTATCATTGGAGGAAAGGTGACTGTAATTCATATATACTCTCTACTCTTTATATATACTCTCTATTACATGTATCTATTCTCTCCCACAGATGCAGCACCACAGTTTCTTTAGAAATTTACCCCCTTTATTCATTTTATTATTATCTAATTTTTTTTTAACACACTTCATAAAATTTTTTCCCTTAAAAATTTAATTGTTATGATTTTTTTTTTCTCAGGATTTAAAACATGAACAGGAGAGAATAAGGAGAACAAACATAGTAGTTTGCACCCCTGGACGACTTCTCCAGCACATGGATGAGACACCAGATTTCACCTGCAACTCCCTACAAGTCCTTGGTAATGAAATCTCAACAAGCTTAAGTTGTCAATACAGTATAAACCAAAAAATATAGGTTACTTCTCTTTCTCTCTTGTTTACAATGTCAATTTTTACTGTGGCTCTATGCTCTGTTGTCCTTTTTTAACTTCAATTTTCACTTTTAATTATCAATCTGCTATTACCAGATCATATCTATGTTAAATAGGATTAAGAAGGGCTGGGTAAGAGAGAAACTGACATTTCAATGCCTGTTTAAATTTTCATTGTGTCCACCTAGCCAATTTTATATGATTATTAATATCATTACTGTTGTTAATATTCTTATTATTATTGCACAATGTTGTTAAGCCTTTGGTATCAGAAATTTGTCATAATGATTCTGTATACAATATAAGCTTGTTCCATGCTTTGGAAATTAATTTAAACTGATATATTAAATTGCCTGGGTTTAATAAAAGCTGGTTACTGGCAGTCTTCCAACTGATCACACTTTGTTTGTATTAATTATCCATCTTTTGTTTGTTTCTTATTTTAGTTTTGGATGAAGCAGACAGAATTCTGGACTTGGGGTTTGCTGCTACTCTGAATGCCATCATCGAAAATCTTCCAGAAGAGAGACAGACCATGCTTTATTCAGCAACTCAAACAAGGTCAATGAAGATCCTTTCTTGAAATTTCCCCACTTACTTTACATTTTTCTTCAATTGTACATCTTTAACCATCGTATTCCTAAAACAATCTACCAGAGGTCCATCAACATTTGAGAACAATTTTCAATTGTGTTGAGAAGAATCCAGGATTGCTTAGGTTTTTCATAACTTTGCTCTGTGATTGTTCCAGAAAATTATCTTCATCCTCTTAACCAATCAGATGCAAAACTAAGAACAATGGCACATAGGTCATTCAGTGTGGTCATTGTTTTCACTTTGAGTTCTCATTGGCTAATGATGATATAAACCTTTGTTTCGAAGAGTCACTTAGATTACTTTGGTTTTGGTTTTTCAACCCTTTAGCTCCCAAAATCTCATTAGTTTTCACTCATTTCCAGCCAACTTGTTTTCATGTATATTTTATATATTATGAATTGCAATGATCTTACTCTTTTGGTTGCAGATCAGTACAGGATCTTGCAAGGTTGAGTCTGCAGGTACAAATTTGTAGTGTTCAACTAAGCTAATCACTAGCTCCAAAAATTGTCAGGACCATCCCAGAAGGCAAACAAAATGTACTAGTTGTAAGGGTTTCAACAGCTTTTTCCATAAGCAGCTGCCAATGGGTGATAACTGACTGGCTGTGCTAGGAAAAGAGGCTGTAAGGCACCCTTTCCCTTAGGGGTTTATTGGGGCATGCTAAAGAGACAGCTGTGAGAGGTTTTATGGGTGGCAGTAGATCACTAGTTTAACAACTTTTATTGAAACCCCTGACTGCTGGTTTTAGCTAAAGGGCATGGTTTTCAGAAAGGCTTGAAGAAGGGTGACTTTACTGTTAATGTCAAAGCACATATTAAACTGGTGTGACAAAGTTAAAACCAAACTCCAAAGGTGAACGCTAACAGATGGTGATTATTTGCAAGTTTGGCTAGGTTAGTGTCTAATGCCTCAAAACCTTTCACAAATAGGTGACTTGATATTCACCTTCAAAAAAATTTTATCTTCATCTGGGTTGGCTTTAGATGATTCATTTACCACAAATGAATATGAATGAGAATTAAAATTGTTTCCTTAATGTCAATCTTATTAGGATCCTGAGTACATTGCTGTACATGAAAACTCAAGCACAAGCACTCCAAAAGGGCTAACTCAGGTAGATTAATATGTAATTTTCTTTCTTATACAGTTGCATTTGATAATCTTTTGGGGATAGCCTGATTAAAAGAGTGATGAATTCTTTTCTTTCTGTCTACTGCCATTAATTTTTGTAAAACTTGTTAAAAGAATTCAGTAATTATGTATATATACCTTTAACCCTTTAATTCGTAAGAGTGACTGGCATCTAATTTTTCCTTACTATATCACCCCTGAATCAAACATTAACGTTACAAGAATGAAGGAGATGATCACCAACTATAGAAGCTCTTGATTGTTGAACAAATTCTCCTTGTTAGCCCCTTAGGAAATATATAGAAAACAGTATGGAGAATATACATCCTGATGTTAGGGTGTAAAGGGTTAAACCTTTCACCCCCATGTGTATATAATTATAAACTTCTCAACTAATTTATGCTTGGAAATGTATTGATTTTGTAAGAAGAAATACAGTTTTGGTCATTGTAAGGGGATGAAATGTTACATTAATGTATTAATGCAGGGCTCCACTAAAATTAGCTTATGCTAAATTGTGTACTTTCTGTAGGAAGAATTAAAATTAACAATTGTCATTCTGTTTGTCCACTGTTATATAAACTTCAGGGTTACATCTATAGTTTGTTTGTCTCTTTTTTTTTTTTTTCAGAGTTATGTTGTTTGTGAACTCCCAGAAAAGCTGAATTTTCTATATTCCTTTATCCGTAATCACATCAAGAGTAAGATTCTTGTCTTTGTTTCAAGTTGTAAACAGGTAAGGGTTTAAACATCTTGAGCAGCCATAATCTAACTTTACATGTACATGGTATCATATCACTTGATTCCTCAGAATCTTGCTGTTCCACAGTTAGGAACAGTTTTGAGAGATGAAGAAACTGTTAAGTTGTTTGTGGATTTGGAACAATTTAGGTTGATATTTTTAAATTCCTCGTTTGAAATCCATTTTAATCATCTCCATGCTTTGCCATCTTTGTTTGTTAGTTTGTTTTTTTGTTATTGGCTGCTTTTGTTTTGTTGCCTTACCCTGCTATTAGAGACCATAAGCAAACCAAGATGGTAATGAGGAGGTGGCAAAAGATCTCATGGGCAGAATAATAGCCCAGCACATAGGTTTTACAACCTTGTACATTTTATAACCATCCTCTGCAGATAACAATTTGAAATGACCAAAACTTTCATGGTCTGAAAGAAAACAGAAACTAAGGCATCAAATCATTTAAGTTTCCATTTGGATCTCAATGCTGCTGATATATATTATGCTGAAATTGAGATGTGGCACTGCAAGAAACAGTAAATGCAACCAGACATCTACAAAATTCTTACTGATAATATGAATTTATTTTTCAAACAATTTCTCTCTCAGCATTGCCATCCTTACTGCTCAAGGTCCTGTTGATTTTGTAGGTCTTCATCAAGTAAGAGTTAGTACTGCACTGCACAAAAATTGGCTCAAAGTGTTGTCACATAGCCCTTCTATCATCTCTTTCTTCCATCAGGTAAAATTTATATATGAATCTTTTCGTCGTCTACGTCCTGGAATTCCACTGATGGCTCTGTATGGAAAACAAAAACAGCTGAAGAGAGTAGCAATTTATAATGACTTCTGTAAGAAGACAGAGGCTGTGTTATTTGCTACAGATATTGCAGCTAGGGGTCTGGGTGAGTATTTTAGGAATCTAATTTTTAGGAATGTAATTTTATGAAAGTCTACCACGATGAAGGAACTTGTATCATGAAGGCTTATAGGTTCCTCCTTTCTTTTTTTATTCTGCAGACATTCCTGCAGTACATTGGGTGATCCAACTGGACTGTCCGGAGGATGCCAACACCTACATTCATCGAGCTGGAAGAACAGCAAGGTAATTTAGTAAGGAAATGTTTACAGTACAGCAGTACTGTGACCTCATAGTTTACCCACTGGACTTCAGGTTAGGATAGCTGGGTTTGAAACCTGGCCACCTCATTGTGTCGTGTCTTTTGAGCATGACACTTACCTCTGACAGTGCCTCTCTCTCCACCCAGGAATTTAAACAGGTATTGGTAAACTGTCAGGGAAGCCTGGCAAAATGCTGGGGGTTAACCTTGCAATGGACTAGCATCACATTCAGAGGAAGTAACTATACTTCCAGCTACTTCATGCTTCTGAAACTGGGATAAGCTCGGGAGTCTTGTGGGCCATTTCTCATCAGAACACAAAACCTCTTAAGGAATTACTTTCACAGTATTTCACTCACTTGGAGCATAAATGGGTACCAGTGAATATGTAACATCCTCCTCGGGGGATGGGGGGGGTTACCAATATTGCTAGTTGCATAATGCTGCTGAAGCTGGGATGAGCCTTGTAAGAAAATGCCACTAAGCTTGGCACAGCAGCAAAATGAGTACGCTTGCCCAGCAGAAATGGTGCATTCAGGGAGCATTTTGTGACTCTGAGGTGAATAAATTTTGATGGAGAACGTACAGGACATTATTTTACACAATTTTGGAATGTTTTTGGGTGCAAACCAAAGTGGACAATTTAGTGAACTTTGTTCTTATGGAAAGGTGTTAAGGATAAGTAGCATTCTTTTAGTCATAGTACATTGTACAGCTAAAGCAAGAGCAGTCCCTCCAAACTTTGTGGCCATGTTATGGATGCTCTACTCTAGTACCTACATATACACCTGTTGCTGCAACATTTTGTTTTGTGGCATGAAATATGTAATGGAAGAGGTTTGATGGAAACTTCCCTGAAACAGCAACCTTGTCTGTTTTGGTTTGAACTTACCCTCGCAAAATGAAAACAAACAATGGGTATCTAAAAAACATCACCATTTTCCCGCAATAGTGTTACTAAAGAAATTTTGTCATTCCCATTCCTTTGTCCTCATAAAAATTTGTCATGCATTACAACCATGTGCACTCATTTTGCCGCTGTGTCACTTTGCATGGGTGAAGACCATAAGTCCAGTAAACGGTCCCCTAATGGAAATGATAAAAAGACCTTGTAGTTGGCACATCAAAATGTCAGTTTTTGGCCCTAGCTGAGGCAATATTGTAGTCTTTATCCACAAAAGAGTGTAAATGGATACTGGCAAACTAGCAACGGGAGGGGGGATAACTTGTGATGTACTTGCATCCCATCCATAGGGGTTAGCAATAGTCAGTCACTTACTTATGCACCAGAAACCAGGATAAATGGTGGCAGTTATGCAAGACTTTCTTATGTGAAGCCTTAACCATTACACTTTTATACCTTGACTTTGATATTTTAATGAATTGCTGTTCATTGAGTCAGTTTTGTGTTTGTCCCTTTTAAACATTCTTTGGCTTCTTTTTTTTTAGGTATCAAAAGAATGGCCAGTCTTTGTTGGTTTTGTTACCTTCAGAAGAACAAGAAATGATCAAGGTGACGCCCTTATTGTAATGCTTCAGTATATCTCCATGTTTCTCAAAATAAAGGATGAGATAATGGGCTTAATTCATCATAAAAATTGATCTTTCAACGATAGGGAAGAACTGATCTTATTGTCACCTGAGTGTAAAAAGTTTTTTACCTCTTTTGTGTTGGGTTAAACCAATTAATTGCCCTTATTATCTTTTTCAGGCTTTAGAAGAAAAAAGGATACCCATAAACAGAATAAGGTTGTTAAAAATGTTTTTGATTTTATTGGTTATAAATGTGAATATGAAAGCAATCTTTGCGGTACTGAACACTACTTGAGCAGTATTGAAAATAAGGCTTGAAAAAAAATTAGACCTGTACTGGATTTGAACCCATGATCTCTGCAACACCAGTGCAGCACTCTACCAACTAAGCTAACAAGGCAACTAGGAGCTGGTCATTATGTTGGTACCAAATAAACCCATGAAGTGGGGAATAAACGAATGTGAATATACGAAAGTCATATTGAAAGTCATATTGCTCATACTTTTCAGACCTTATTTTCACTACTGCTCAAGAAGTGTTCAATACTGCGAAGATTGCTTTCATATTCACCTCTTTATTTGTAGTTCAAATATATGACTTTCATATATTTACATTCGTTTATTGGTTATGTTGATGATAGGCTGGGGGCATAGGGGTGGGGTAACGTTGTGATGGACTGGGAGATCCCATCTAGGAGGGAGCAGTAATACTCCTGGTCACCTCATGCTTAAATTGCCTTTGAATTGTTGGTTGTCTCCTATAGAAGGGCAATTGTCAATTGTGTGTCTTTGTATTCCAAGATTGTATTAATTATGTTGATGAAGTGCTAGGAGCTAACCCTGCAATGGACTGAGATCTCATTCAGGAGGGAGTAGTGTTACTCCTAGTCGCTTCATGCCACAGAAATCAGGATAAGCTCAGGAGTCTTGTGGGTCACTGGGTTCGAGAACAGACTTTACCTAGGGAGACCTGGAACTTTCTAGAGAAATCTAACAAAATGTAGGGGGAGGGGGAGAAGCAATATTCTTCGTTGTATGATGCTTTGCAACCAGAGATTAGCTCAGGTGGTATGTTATTCTTTTGTTTTGAATTGCAGAGTAAACCCACAGAAGCTTGGGTCAATTCAAAAGAAACTTGAAGCTTTCTGTGCGCAAGACTTGGAAATAAAGCAGTGGGCACAAAAGGTAAACAAGTTGTGCTCCCATAACATCTGGTCATTTATTCGTGCGCCGGATCAAGTCTCTATGAGAGTTGGAACCTGTGACTCCCGGATGCTAATTGCGTGGTGCTACCAACTGGGCTACGGGGCCAAATGAATATTTATCAACTTAGGGAAAAAATTAGAAATTAGATCTTTGGAGTTCAATCGATGCCACGAGTGCTACAATTTTATTTCATCTTTCGATTGATTCCTTTACAGAGTATTGTATCGTACGCAAGATCCGTGTTTTTACAGTCAAATAAAAAGATTTTCGATGTCAATCAGTTGCCGTTGGACGCGTTCGCCCAGTAAGTCATTTGTTTTGTGTTGTTGTGGACTTCGCTTAATCCATCGAAATTTAGTAACTAGGTGCCTTCTGCCTTCTGAGACTCCTTTCCGGTGACAATTGTCAAATACAAACGGCACCCTACTTAAAACAAGAAACGAAAAAGTAATCAACAACAACAACAACAACAGCAACAAATTTCATAGTAGGTAACAGCATGACCAATCAACTGAACTAGAAGCTTTTTTTTATGCTTCTGACCAAACATAGCGACCTAATTTTGCCAACGGATTAAAGCTGACCAGTCACAACAAACAAACGCTATCTGAGTCTTGCTGTCAAGCTTACTGCCGAGTTTTCACCAAACTTTTCATGAAACTCAACACGAACGAACCGAGGGAATCAGGCCCCTTACAAGGTACCTGAACGAGATAGAAAAGACGGAACATGCCTTGAGAGCAATTGTAAACATGACAAAAAAAACAAACAAACAAACCCGATGAAAACAGAATCGGGAAATGTACATCTGATAATGACGTAATTTTTTTTTTTAGATCACTTGGATTACCCAATCCTCCTCGGATTAGATTCCTCAAGGTAAGATCAAGTGATAGTTTGTTCTGCATATCAGTTGGTTTCGTTGTTTCACGACATCAAAGCTCACTTTGCATATTTACTCTATAGAAAGCAGAGAAAAGGTATGGTAAGCAAGATGACTCGCAGATTGACGTCATCGGTCTGAGCAGTCGATTGGAAGAAAACAGTGGGAGCAGTGATGAAGAGACTAGAGACGAGGAAAGTAACGACGCGAGGGATCTGGGGAATAGTGCAAAAATGATTAATGTTAGCGCTCCACAAGATGATTTACTTGTTCTTAAGAAACGACACATTGACTTTGACCCAGGCCCACCGTTAAAAGAGGTAGGTTTGACAATACTGTGATTTTAATCCAGATTTTGTTCTGTAACGTGTTTAGTTAGAGTATCAGTCGTAAGTGGTGAAAACTTTTACATTTCTGCCTACTGTCAACGTTTGGTGATAAGGGCATGCTTATTTTGTTTTTCTAGTCGTGTTGGAGCAATTTTCGCTGAAGTGTCGAAACTACTCAGGGTTTGCGTTACTCTATTCGCATTCCCCTTCAAATTATTGGTCTAGAAAACTATGTTAACCCTCTCGACCATCGCTGAGGTCCGAAGTGACTAGAGCAACGGTCAGCGGTCGCCTTTCCCGCGTAGAAGGCTTTTTACTTGTATGTACGTTGAGTTTTCATTGGCCCCTTGTGACTTTTACCTTTGGCCATTATGATTGCTTTAGCTTTTACGACACTCAGTCGAAAAGGTCTCTATCACAGAGAATGTAATAGGTTCAAATGGCCATTAAGAAAATTGAACAAAAGAAAGGGGAGGAATTACACACAGCTGATCGAATGCAACTTTTTCAAATCTGCCATTAACCCTTGGGCCCCAAAGGGTGACTAGCACCTAATTTCTCCTTACAAAATCAGCCTTGAATCACACATTAAGTTCAAGAGAATAAAAGAAATGATCACCAACTGAAGTAGCTCTTGATTGTTAAAGAAACTCCTCCTTGTCAACGCCTTAGGAAATGTATAGAGAATAGTAAGGAGAAAATGCATACTGATGTTAGGGTGTAAAGGATTAAGGAACAGTAATGCGGTTCATGATCGGACTATGGCCATTATCCTCTCTTAGACTATCTAGTTTGCAAAAATACATATTTACGCAATTGCAAGGGGTAGTCTGGCTTTTTTAAAGGGGGAAATGATATTAAAATTTAAAAAAACTTTTTGGGTTTTAGGAAGAAATTCCAGAAAAAGAGAAGAAATCAAGGAAACCAAAGAGCAAAATTGCTGTTGCCAAAAAGATACTTAACAAAAACGTGAAGGTGAACACAAAGATTGTGTTCGACGACGAAGGAGAGGTAACGTTCGATTTGTTTGATCTTTCGACTTCCAGGAGTACTTACTTACAATTTTAATACGCTGTGAAGCAGACAAGGAATCGGAATGGGAAACTGATAGACCAGGCGATAAATTTAGCGAAATATTTGGCAAAAAACGTACCGCTTACAATCGTAGAGTAAATTTTCAGATCTTAGAGGTTAGGAAACGTGTCAGTCAATTACTGGTACAAACATCGCGGATTTTTACTCTGACAGGGTATATTCACCGTACAAATTGATTTTGACGTCTTCTTTATACAAGAACCTGATTGACACAAAATGAGCTTTTTTTCCTGAAACGCGGAAATGTTCTTAAACAACCCTAAATGCATAACAAGTTCTTAATCGTGTAATCAGAATATTTGTTTTTCAGTATTTCGTTCCCATGAAGCTCAAATTTTAGAAATTCCCAGATCCAGGCCCCCCATAGACAACACTGCATTTGAATCTATACTCAACTTGCAGCCAGTAACGATTGAAGGAGCTCCTCTCGATCACACGGGTAAGCCTGAATCATCCAATGAGACACTCGAACCAGTTCCCCTCAGTGAGAGCCACAAGCGTCAAGTGGGTGGAATTTCGGTGGCAGAATCGCGTGACTTGATGCGCGAGGCAGATTTGATTGACCGGAAAGTGGAGCGGGAGCGAATTAGAAGCAAGCACAAAGAACAAAGAAAGAAAATCAAGAAACGACGACGCGAAGAACAGGTGAGAAGAAGGAGAGACCCTTTAGTGATCGTTGTTGGATGAAACCTGATCATAGTTGGATTCAGTGACAATACGTCTGTGGCAATCATGATTAATGTTAAAATAAATGATGCCTTTTCCCCGAGTCCCGAGGTCAGCTGCAAAGAGCCTAAATGACAAAGTAAATGGGCAGTAAGCGTAAAACAAAACAAGTATTTCCTATTCTCAGAGGAAATTAATGCGAAGACCACTTGCTTTGTAAATAGGCTTTTATGATTCGACCGTCACGCTAAATTAATTTTGATTTCTTAGGGTGTCTCCGGTGTCAGTTTAGCTGAAGATGAAGAGAACGCAGAGGAATCGTTTGAGTCTGATGAAGAAACACCAGTGAGGTATCCGTGACTTTCTCTTTCTTAACCCTTTAACTCCCAGAAGTGATTGACAAGTAACTTCTCCCTACAATATCCCTACAATATCCCTACAATATCCCTACAATATCCATGCTCTATCCAGCAAACAGGTAATGAGAATACTCAAATGTATCAGGTGGAAGTTATCTTGATCTAACACCAAATTCTCGTTACTTATTTACAAGGAAATTTGAGCAGCTAGAGGGGAGAGTTAACAATCATATCTTGGGAGTTAAAGGGAATGACCAGCCAAGCAATTGCTGCAAAATTTTAAGACGAGATCCTTCTTTTGAAGGAACTTTGCACTCACATGAACATGAACATGATTAAGTCTGATTGAGACTGAGATGAAGACAGTTGATTTTACGTGTACTCGAATAATAATGGTATAGAGGCGCTTCTTCGAGGGGGAAGGGCGTTTACTGGAACGAGGCCGTTAAACTAGATCATTACGGTAGTCGCTCTTGTGGTACTTGTGCAGTATGATGTCACCGTTAAGAAATCTTTACTAAGAGACAGCAACTCCTTTCAGGAGGTCGTCCTCGGATAAGACTATGGTTATAAACATGGATGTAATCGTAAATTTTCATTTTTCCCCTCCTCAGCCCAAAGAAGAGAAAACGATTTCCAAAGGGTGAAAAATCCATAGATATCTCTTTGGATTTGGCCCCTGAAGGAGCATCTTTGGCAGATGACGAGGAGCTCGCATTACAGTTACTGACAGGATCTTGATAAAGAGGGAGACATTTGGATTAAGAGGAACCGAGGAACACTCTCGTGATACCTGGTCCCGGTCCCTATAAATAAGGAGCCTCAAAGTGTGGATTCCTTTTCACGTGAAAGGAAAAGCTCCCACTAACCTGGATCTATTGCCAAAGACGATGAAATATGGGTTTCTGGTCAAATTTATGACCTACCACCAGAAATACCACGTATTCGACACGATGTTCTGTGTTTGGATCCTGCATAAGTATCGTCCAAATAATACTTATTTGGGTCCACACAAATACTCAGTCCAAAGGGTCACGACAACATTTATGGAACTCGATGCCTACCAAAAAACGGCTGCTACTAAGTGCAAAGGAATAAATGCAACCTTGTTCCCACTCCTCAAACCCTTTTAGGAAGAAGAGAGAGGGCCCTGGGAACAAGGTTGAAATGAATGCTAGGACCTTAGTTTATGTCGTCGACAACTTTTGCTCAGTTCATATCTAACTTACACCAACAAGTTTAGGTTGACCTTCTCTATCTAACACAATGATTGCCTCTCGCGATATTAATTCTCAATTTTACGCACTGTTGTGCGTTTAGATTGGAGAATTTAGTATTAAATCAGAGGGAATCTTACCCACTCCTCTCCCCCCCCCCTGAAATTTTCATTTCGTCACCTTTTTGGTCAAGAATGTATTGATTTTATCACATTTATAAGGAAAAGCAATTTTTATCACTCCGGGGAGGGTAGAAGTTAGCCTTTTACACCTTAACATCAGAACGCAAGATCTTCCCTCTGTTTTCTCTACATTTCCCATGGTACTTGCAAGGTGAATTTGTCTAAGAATCAAGAGCTTCTTGAGTTTGCGATCATTTGTTTTATTCTCATGACCTTAATGTTTGATTCAGGGGGTTAAACTGTTGGGAGAAACTAGATGCGTTGTGATGACTCCTATTAAAGGACTTATTGAAGACATGTCCGTCATCGAGAACTTTATTCGAACCACGATATAGAACTAAAGTTCACACTAACAGCCTCTTTTCTGTTCTCCACCTGCTTAATTGGGGATACTTAAGATGTTTTAAAATTACAACTCTTAGAAGTAACGAACAATCAAATTTAATTGTTCTACATGATAAAAACTTAAAACACACAAACAAAAACAAAAACGTAACCTGAACATAATTCAAAGGACGGGAAAAATCACCCTCCAAGTTTTATTCCAATAAATTTCAGCAAAACAAAAGTATCCAGTGCTAGCGTAAAAAAGTGATTGTGTTTGAGAGCAATTATAAAACACGATTTTTCAGTTCGGAAACCAATTAAATTGTCATTCATTGACAGCAAGATGTCTTTGTAATGTTCAATTTTCCAGTTTTTTTTGTTATGGCATAAGGAGTGAACAATAAGAGTTTCACCTCTGGATATGACATATTGTCTGCTTACGTGTTCTGTTCTCAACGTGCTCCCAGCGAAGCGTACTTCTTGCTTGCTTAATCTTATTTTTATGCATTCTATTTAACAATTTGTTATTGTGTGGATATTTCTATCTTATTGTTGCATTCTTTTCATTTATTGTGGTGAGATCGTATTCGATACGTATGCTGCTTGGGAAGTACGAACAACACCTTGGGTGCTTGCACGCATAGATAGAAGTGGGTATAATTCTTAAAAGATATTGGTTTATCGAGTATTGTTACATGATCTGTACTGAAACAACAAAACACGACCATGATTTAAGTCGATTCACATTCTCTCGGATTTGCTTCGTAAGAAAAGTTTGTGGTTATTTTATCCTCCCCCATTGGCAGTCAAATTTTTAAGGTGTCTCCCCCCTTATACCCTGTTAGCGACGACCGGTTCCCTCTGAACACCAAGTGTTTCCCCCCAGAATATCACCCCACCCCCTCTCCTCCACTCAGGTGACAAATAATGACTTCCCAAGGGTCGACTGAATGAGCGTCACCTTTCAAAAAATTATGCGCCACTCTGATTGGTTAGGATTTCAAATACTGTAAATGTTCGTGTAATTTTTCCATTTTTTCGGATATTTGCTGGCATTTTGTTGTTCACTTGATTCCTTGGCGTCGTAGTAATTCAGGCTGAACGCCTCTTGCTCTTTCATCTAATCGTGCTCGTACCTCGCAGCGATGGTAAGTGTCTATCTCGTTCTCTCCTATTATCCCTGTTCGTTTATTTTTGTTATTTTCTTTTCGTTTGTTTTAAGTAATTTCACTTTCCTTACCGTATACAACTCCGTTGCATGTTTATCCTGAGAGGGGAGGAGTTTTCGCTCTGACAAGAAAGTCTTCGAACTATTTGCCTTCCGACCGACAACATTCAGTTCGCCACGTTTTATTTACACAAGGTTTTATTTATCTAAGAATCATTTTAACAGTGTTGCCGGTTGGCAGGTTGTGACGAAAGACAAAATCTCTCTAGATGCTGCGTTTTAAAGTTGTGAAGCTGAAGTTAACCAAATTCAGAGAGAGATTTTGAACTTAGTTGGCCTGATTTTGCTAAGAGCTTTCAGAGGCTAAAGATGATGTCGATGTTTGATTCGATTAGCCGTTGTGAAGTTTGGCTTTCCGTTTTCGACACTGAATTAAAAGTTGCTGAATGAAGTGGAGTGTATGAGTTTTAACCATAAAGAGGTATACATTCTGATCAGTTAGGCCATCATTGTGTGCAGAAAAATATTCTGGCGCGTTCATGACTTGATAGATTACTATCTACTGGAGGTTAATTTCGGTGTTGATGCAACAATCTCAGAAAAGTACCTTAACTATTTTGAACTCTACTAAATTTTTGTCCTTACTGCATTTCCAGGACAAATAATAGTCAATATTTCAGTCTAACACATGAGCCTTAGCGCCAAAGAGTAAGACTTAGTTAATAACAATTGTTCAAATTTGCATTTCTCTATGCAACGCGTGCATTTTGTAAATTTTCTTTATCTCTTTCACTTGATGAAGGCCAGAGTTGATATCCGAAACACTGAGACTTTAAAATATTCCTCGGATATTTTTTAAACTATTTACCAGTGTAACGATTTTATTTCATTATGAACCCACCTGGTTCTAAATACAATTTTGATTTAGACACGTTTTTTTCCTCTTTTTTCGATTACATCTTATGCATGCCTACTCTCTCAAATGAACAATAACAATGAGTGTCGAGAGGAATCTGGGATTGGTTTGTTTTGCCGAACTTCGGTCTATGATTGGTCCATAAAACTTGCGCTACTCCCTCAACCAATCAGATGCAAAATTAAAACCAAGAACGTGTTGGTGGCCCGCGTTTTCCCGCGCTTTAACCATTTCAGTCACTTTTATTTTGAGTTTTCATCTGAAAGGTGTTTTCAATTTTTGGCCGTTGCGATTACTTTTATTTTGGTTTTACGACACTCAAAGCGCTCTTCTGCGCTATGATTATATATTGTTGAACACTTTTTTAGTCTCATGCTTACAAACGCTTGGCAACCAACATCAAGAGGCCGACCTCAGTGCCAAGAAAAAATTCTGGCTTCTCAATAGATTAACATGCACAGCTTCGGGAAATAAAACGTCGAATATATTTAATCGTATGGGCGCCTGATTAAATACTAGGTCAACGTGTAGGTGGGTTGGCCACTCCATGTCATTATATCTGATCCTCTCTTCATAGTTGGATTACTCATGCTATTATTTGTATATGAATTGTTTTAGCTCTCATAACTCAAGGAAATGATAATCCCATCGTATTTTACAGAGATTATTTTCAATGACTGTAATGAAACACGATCAACTATTAATGAACTTTTGGAAAACGTGATACGTAGTTTGAACATATTCAGCCCGGTCTGTATCCATGAATAGTATACTCGCGAACTTTGTCTTCTGATAAAATCAAACTCTTGAAAACACTTTGGGAAAAGAGACGATGGACTAGAATTATTGTGTTAAATGTATTCACAATGGTGTCGAAGGGTAAGTGGAGCTTTCTTTAGTTTATTAGTGACTTTTAAGGGTGAATATCCGAGTAAGTTCTACTGAGTGAAAGCTTTATGTCATTTCATTGGATGAAGACGGCAAAACGCTTTCCTACGAGTTGATTTGCTGGTGTTAGATGTATCTCGTGTTAGGTGAAAGTACAAATTCGGAGTTGGCACTTTTTATCTTCCTTGATCACGTGCAAATCTCGTCGAATTTCCTCTTATCTCGTGTATCTTTATTTGTTTAAAAAGGGAAACATGGCAAATATCTTATTCTTTTACTCCTACCGCAATATGAATACAATTTTTTTAAATCTCGCTTAACACCGTCTTGGGAAAATTTCAATTACTGTCGTTTTAGAAGCAGCAGGTTTGCGGTTTTAGCTGTTTTGTTTTTCTTTTTTCCTTACTTCTGATTCCACGAAGATATTGCTTACAACGAGAAAGAGGACTGTTTTATACATACCATAAACAAACCGTCATTCAGTCAGTCACAGAGGTCTTTTGATTTGGTATCTTTATCACTACTACCGTTTCATACATACCCTAAACAAAACGTTTTTTTGTTGGGTCACACAGGTCCTTTGATATAGTATCCATATCACTGGTGCTGTACTGAAAAACTTAACTCCCGTTACATGTTTAGGTTCTAAAGCGCCTTTTTTCGTTCCCGAACCTGAAAGAGGCGTTTGTCTTAGCGCACTTTTCCCGGAGAATTGTAAAAATTGTCGGAGAGCATATTAAAACATGTGCTGAGATTGATGACCGTTGTTCACGGCTTGGGTTTTTCTAAAGTACAGTGACTTTAGATAAACGCTGGTCTATCGCCTGAACGGTAAGCTCGACACAGACCCCCACGCATAATCTTGAGAAAAATTACACTAGTTGCTTCAGCTGTCGCTTCTGTGTGATCCAACATATCCCACAATTACAATAGAGTTCGTTATCCTTAGAGCTTGATTTTTACATCAACTCGTGAGAAAATGAAATTTCAACGGGACAGTTTAAAATTTAAGTCGTATCACTGCATTATTGTTTTATCGATTTTCAAATATTTCCATCAAAACACAAAGATACTTTCTCAATAAGATTCCTCTGAGCGTTGGTTTGTTTTCTTAGCATCTATATTAAAAAGTAATTTTGCCAATGTCAACGTCAATATCGTGAAAAACTTATTATCAAAAGAAAAAGAAAGCGACGTCTTTTGAGGACCGGGGGCTCGTGTGAGGCGGAAATGAGATTTTTGAGAAGAAAGCAAATATTTGATTGCTTACTCCTTACCGTTTTCAAATATCCCTTGAAAGCGCCGATGGGATTGGCCAACAATCATCCGTGGTGTGGTATATATTTATGATTGTTTTTTTTTTGTTGGTTCACCCACCCACTAATCTACTTGCATGATATTTTCCAATATTTCGTGACTTTCGTACATGAGAGGCTCTTCCCATGACCAGGTGTATATTCTGCAAGGGTATAAAACCGCGGTTTAAACTTGATTATCCAGCTGTCTTTCTTTAAACAGCTCCAATACGGAACAACTAGTCATCTGCACGCCACTAAAAATTGAGAAGCATTTTAACCAAATGCGCTTTGCGGAAGCTGTGAGGCCAATCCTGCCGGTGAACATTGACAAGGAATTTTGCATTGGATCTATTTCATGTGCTACTGAAAAGTGAGTCAAAGACAGCACAGTTTTTCTGTTAAATTTTAGCTTAGAGATATGTAAGGAGTTAATTCTAAGTTGTTGTTACTTCAGTCGGTTCTTCGATGGAGTTTTACCTCCCTCCCAACGTGTATATAGTATTATATAGCTCAGTTCTGGGAGGCCTGGGTTCGGATCCCGTCGAAGCCTAAATTTTTCAGGCTTCTTCGTTTCTGCCATTGCTAAATAACTCACTTGGTCACCTGCAAGGATCATTGCTTCACTTGATTCATTCTCTCTATTATCAAATCATTCGTTGAAAGTCAATAAAAAGATTTAGTGAGATATAAATTATCAACACTAAGTTCCCTAGACATCCAGTAGATCAAATATTGCACACATTTGAATTTATTCAACCTCATTTCATCAGCAAGCAAGGACAGCTAACTCGGTGAAACGGGCTGAGATCATGAACGCTTTAGGAATTCAATTTCAGTTTTCCAAGCTTCTTCTCTTTCGTTCGCTTTAATAAGTACAACGGCACTGATTCCTCATTTCTTTACTTTTCATATTTCCCGATATTTAGATTTATCTCTGTGATGTATTTAATGTCACAAACTGGATTAATCAAGATTTAAAGTCGTGTAAATGGTGAGCCTTTTGACGCTTCACGAAAAATACCTAATTAAAACTATTTTCACCTTCACGCCAAAAAAATTCCAGGTGGGACGTAACATTTGCAAGTCAGGAACATAGAGCTTCAACAATGTTTTAGGGTAATTTGTCGTCAGTGAGAAATCACGTGAAATTATTTGAGACACTCCTTCATCGGTACGTCCAGTGTTGAATCGTTTTTGGTCTCTTTTTACGTTTAAGTTTAACCCTTAGGAAAAACTTTTGTTTGTCTCTTTGGAGGAAGGCTCAAAAAGAGTATATAAACTGATGTAAACTGTATTATGTGTTATGGGCTTATCATTCTGATGTGTAGATAATTCAGTGGTATTTACATCGTATATTGTTTCAACTAGAGGGGATCAAAGATCATCGTCTCTCGTGGCCAATCAATGTGAAGTAAACACAAGTTACTACGTTGGACGAGAATGTCGGTTTGAGTTCGACCGGACGTAAAAAAAATTATTTTGCCTCACTTTAGCCAATAAAAGCCAAGTAAATGCTGTTTCATACTTTGTACTATATTGGTGTCGGTTCAAGTTCCAACATAGCTAAATAAATTCATAGCCTATGCACTCAAATCTGTCTGTTTTTACCGCATGAAATGCAAATTCCCAAGGTGTGCTTTGTTCGACTCCATATTCAAGTTGTCTGTTTTGCAATTGGAAAAATAGTGTCCTGCCTACCATACATGATACTTCTAACGCGAACTCATGATTACATGTTAGCTCTGAACAAAAAAACTTGAAACGGAAGAGCATCATGATATTTCTCTTTTGTGGTTGGCGTTCTTTAAATTACAAACAAATTTTCTATTGAATTTTAATTAACGTTACAAGTTACCGTGAACGATATTGATGAAGGGTTCTGAATTAAATAAATCATGTGAAACTGCACTATGCGAAAATGAAACTTGTGGCCGGGGAATGAACAACTCCACGTCGTGTAGAAACAAAACAATTTACTTTAACTTCTCAACGGTGAAATGACGTAGGTTTAAACTAATATAACAAACAATTATAAAAGTTACACAATATATGATATAAAGAAATAACAAACAACACGACGGAAGAGGACTATCTGACACTTTGAAACACTTACATTGTTACGGCCACAGAAAGACCAATATTGTTACTGCGAAATGCTGAGGCCAAAAAGGAAAAGGGAAAAAGATAAGCGGTGCGTTATTGAACTGCGCTTAACGCGAGAAACGAGAAGACAGACATAAAGATAAATTATGCGAGGTAGTACTAGGGCAGCAATAAAAATGACGAAAAGAAAAGTGTGCTGATGAAACAGTAAGTTAGTATGAACGTTGGCTAATTACCGGCTGAACAGACTTAAGTAATAAACTTGAACTCGTGAAAATCCAACATGAAAAAATGTCGCACTTAGAACTTACATCGTGTGTTCTCGCTTCTAGAGGAAAAAACTGTCCTCAATCCCTCGAAATTAGACAAAAGTTTCGTTCCCAGGTTAGCTATTCATCAGTTTTCCCGTCTCGGGCATAACCTTCCAGCATACCAAAAAAAATGTCGCCTTATTTCAACCAATCAAAACAAAGAAAATGGCCCAATTTACTAGGTACATAAAGAAATAGACCATGGTTGTCGTAATAGATACTGTTGTCAGTTGTCGGTTTTCCCTACTTCAGCTGGTCCTAATAATGAGTGAAGGAGCGGTACAATTGATCAAAGCCGGTAATACTAAATGAGGAGATATTGAAACATTGTCACTGCAAATGATCGAAAAACAAAACTTCGAAAGACTTCCTGAGCGACTGAATTTTAGCGACTGGTCCCTTTGTCACCAATCTGCAGGTACCTGCTATAGATTTAACACTGAAACGCACCATCAATCAAACCATCCGTGGCTACTAATCTTACTTGGTTACGGCAATTCAACATTTTATAGCTTGCCTAAGGATTATTTCAAGATGGTTCTGCCTGAAAGATTTAGTTAGTGTTGGCGTGTAGTTTGTGGGAAAAAATCTGTGTTGATCTTTATGGAACGTAATCGTACGGGCTGTCGTTTCGTAATTTCAGCGAGAGCAACGTTCAGAATGACGAGGTATTTTTCTTGCCTTTGGCTCAGTTGTAAAAAAATTGATGCCAAAGAATTCTCTAAGGTTTGGTTCATTTGAGTTAAAGTTGGGCAACGAAAAGGGTCATTTTAAGGAAAAGGCATCGGCTGACTGTTTTCGTGAGGTTTTATTTGCAGAGCAGTGGAACCGTCTAAGAAAAATAGCAACATTCAAGTGTCCTGTTGTGATTGATCCGACATCTGTGTTCCGACAAATGCACACTATTGTTTATCTAGAGTTCACTTATTGAAGCGAAAAACTTAAAAACTAATTTGTCTGTTTTATGCCAGGCTGGTTTGCGCGTCCACAATTTATTTTCTCTAGTTTAAATCCCATTTCAGTTTTCTAAAGACCCTTTGCCCCCTCCCCCCCGCGGGGGAAGGAGTTTCCTTTAAGGTAAACGGACATGTAATGATTAATTTCTTTATTTCCCCTCATCATACAGTTCAGAGCAAATAACAGCTTGACAGAGAATGATCTCACTGCTACGGAATGCTTGTTTATCGCTTGATTGCGTGCCACCAGCCTCGCTTTCACAGCACAGGGAGGAACGAGTTGAAAGTCGGTGAACGCGTTTTGAAGAAATTGAACACAGCGGCTGGGAAGAGCTATCGGAGCGAAGATGATGGTGTGGTTGAGACCGACCTCGAAACGGAGATCGCTTATACTAGGGTGTTTTTTCTTGGTAACTTTGAGGACCATGTTGTTTGTGATTCAGTTTTACAAGGAAGAAACAGCAAGAACTCGAAAACCTGCCCGTGTGCAAACAGGTGGAGGTGAAACACCGGTTCTTCCGCCGGTTTGGAATAACTTAGTCAAGTGGAAGAAAGAAGACTTTCCTAAGAGGCAGCGAAAACGATTGATAATTTACTGGTCGGGAGTTAGGGGACACAAGGTGCCCGTTCAAAAGAGTGGCGTGAATCATACAAATTACTGGCCGTTTTTTTACGCGGGTCAACCTGGGGAATGCCCCGTACCGTGTGAGCTGTCCAACGACCAATCACGCGCTGCTGAAGCTAGTGCGTTTGTTGTTCACGCTAGACCACCGGATATTTCGAATCTTCCGCCGATTGAAAATTTAGCTCCGTGGATTCTTCAAACTAATGAAAATCCTGTATACACACCGACACTGTATAATGCGCGCATTATGTCGCAGTTCAATCTGCTTATAAGCTATCGTCTGGACTCGGATTTTCCTGCTCCGATCTATCCCATGCCTGGATTAGATCCCCCTATACCATTTCAAAAGCGACAGGGAGATATTCTTGCCATCTTTTCTAAGTGTGAACCCGTTCGAACAGAATACATGCGGCAACTCATGAAATATATCCAAGTGGACTCTTACGGCGCATGCCTCAAGAACAAAGAGGGACTTATAGGATTGTACGGGAAAATCAATAACAAATATGTCTTCAAAGATCACAAGCTTGTTCTAACGAGGCATTACAAGTTCTCTTTGGTTTTCATGAATCAAGACTGTGATTACTTTATAGACGACAGACTTTACCATGCTCTCACAACCGGCTCGGTACCAATTTTCATGGGCACTCACAAAGTGGACGAGTTTTTACCTGGAAATCTCAAGAACTCTATTATCAAAGTTAGCGATTTTAAAAGCCCTAAAGAATTAGCAAAGTATCTTAAATATCTCAGTAATAACGAGACTGCGTATAATAAGTATCTAGAATGGAAATGGAAGGGACTAGGAAACATTTTAAACACAACTATTGGTCGTTGGTGGAAACCGCGGCACCCGCTTTTTTGCCAGGTATGCATGGCGCTGGCCAAGGGAAAGCTGCATCGCGGATTAAGGCTGGACTATTGCCAACCGCGCCGTTTCGAGGATTGGGGACTAAAGGACCCTAACACTGACGTTCAAAATCACTATAGCACGTTTCTTTATGTTGGTTTTGTGTTGTTTGTGATTGTTATACTAGTATCATGAAGTACACTTAGAAAGGCCCAAGTAAAATTTTTTTTAAAGATTTTCAATTCCAGAGAAAGCGTGACAATGAGAAACAAAGGGAAGCATAACTTGGAGCCGGCAGGATCGGACCCTGGTTGTTTGCCGCCTTAACAGTCAAAAGGGTTTATGGTTAATTTGCCCAAAGCAAGTTGCTCCCCTTAGTGTAAAACAAGTTCGCACCACCTTGATCAGTTCGCCCCAAAACCTTTCCACTCGTGTCCCTGCCACAGAACGAATTAATTCCCTGCTGAAATCATTTTTGCGACTAACACGCAATTTTAACAATGAAACTATAAGAAGGTTCGATTAACTAGTAAGAATGAGAAGAATGATGTGGGGGCGAACTGCTTGATGGTGGGGTGAACTTGTTTAAAATTAGGGACAAACTCTCAAGGGTGATTGGGAGCGAGCTTGCAATGGGGCGAATTCACCAGGTACCATAATAAACCTGGTAAAGGAAAGGGGGGTGGAATACTTTTAGACTTGCTTTTTTGAGACTCTGTTGTGATTTTATTTCGTAGCCCAGTTTTAGTTTTGATAGGCTCCGACGCGAATGAATGAGTTTCAGAGTGTAAACATTACCCTACAGAAAATTCTTCGAAATCGTAGGATGTTCGCTATAAATCATACCATATACGTAATTCAGATAGAATTTACGAGCACCTTAAATGTGGTGACAAACTGAAGAAAGTAAGTGAAAAAGTTTTTTCTTGTGGCTTTCCTAATTATTTTTTGCAAAAAAAAAAGACTCTCTCGAACGACGTTCATACCGCCAGTAGCGAAGGAATAATCATGATTGAAGCAAATATATGTATATATGCTTTGCGGTGAATTTGAATTTCGTCCTATCTAGGCAGGGGACTAAGCTAAAAAATACTTTTCTGCCTTTTTTTTTCCGTTTATTTTAATCTGATCACTCAGCCCGTCAATTGGTCTTCAGTGCGTTTTGTTTTTGTATATTCCACCGCTCACTCCTCCCGAAGCCTGGAGAGAGTCCAGAGAGTGGTGGTAACAGTGGTAGCTATTTTTACCTCGTCATGACTTTCTGACTAATATGTGTTGGATCAATAGAAGATAAATCGAGCTTAAGCTTGTAATTTTTAGGTGTTCGGTTACGTGCATATTGTTACTGCAGCTTAGCATGCTTTTTAAATAAAAATCGCCAGCTTCATAGCTTGTTTGGAGTTTATGAGAAAGTTGGTTCAGCTTTTTAATGAACAAGAAAATCTATACTGCTTTCAGTCATAAGTAACAACCCATTTAATGTATCTTTACAGAGAACGGTTAAATGAGCAGACAGTGACCATTGTTATCTATTTGTCCTGTTTTGACTGTCTAATGAATTTTTTTCTCCTCAATTATAGTCTGTATATTTCTTAAGCACTTCTTCTTTGTTGTTGTAATTGAAAGGACACTGGCAAGCTGTGTTATTAAGGGAAGGTTGAACAGTAAAACCGAAACATAGTAAAGATGGTCAGTAAAGTGTCATTCACTCTCTCGTTTTGGTGGAGAAAAAAAGACTTACGAGCTTTACTCTGGCTTCCTGGATATTTAACCGTTTTCAATACTGTTGTCCCCTTCGAGCTATAAGTGTTGGGTGGAGTTGAAGAGAAGAGAAGTATGACTACTTCGAACGAAAAACCTTTGACATTTAGGCAGATTTACAGTCGTCACTGTTTTAGAATTTTACAGTTGTACTGAACCCCTGTTTTGATTGCCTTTTCCTTATAGAGGCCGCATATTTAGATGTTGCACTTATCTGGAGCCATGATTATAATGGGCACCTACAGTTGTCAATACTTTTGTCTTCGAACGCGGTGCTTTTCACAGGGAGGCGCTTAATTAAAGGAGTAGTATGCTTTAGAATCCATTCAAATTGATCTCTATGATAACTGACGCAACTGATCTCGCAATCAGTCAAAAGAATTTAGCGGAATCGCCCTTTGAACGGACATTTTACCTTCACCAATTGCCTTATGATCATGCGCATGCGTAAATGAAAGACTGATAATTGCCCCACATGGCATGGCTCATTCTGTTAATTTGATTTCCTCCGGTATACTAACTTTAATACTCTGGTTTTCCTTCAGCACGCATAAATCTTTCGCCTTTTACTAAAGATTTCCGTGGAGGAGAACAACTGAATGAGTCTATAGACCAATTTTTTACCGCCCTGCCTTTCGGTGGGGCTCTAAATAACGGAAATGATTGCCTAAATTGGCGTTTTATCTCGTCACGGAATAGAATCAGTTGATAAGTGACGAGACGAAAAAACACCTATGGAGGTGTGAGAGGAGATAAGAGAGGAAGGGCTGCTTGTGTACTCGTGGACAAATGTAAGAGGGGAAAAAGGTGCAATTGCTTAGACGTTTCAATGTTTCATTTTAAGACTCCCAAATTCATAGCAAAGTAAACCAGATACAAACAAGCGTGTAAAGAATTTGGTTTTATTTTTGTTCAAGGAATTGCGTGTTCTGCTTACTATTTATAAATTCTTACCAACAATTCAGAAAAAGAATGACTCGCAGTTCGGCTCTTAGTTTATCATTTATCCCTTTTCTTATGGGCCCCACTCTCTAACTGGCGCCCCCTTCTCCAAATGGAAAGCCTTAGAGATAAGGAGGCCTTCCCGAGGGCCTTTTTCAGCATTTGCAGTCTTACCTAGATCTGGGCGAGTTTCAGAGAATACCGTAGGCAAGTTGACCTTAGGTGTCGGTGAGTTGTTTTTTTCGCAAGTCGACATGTCTGCGAGATAAAGGGGTAAGTTGTCCTCTCATCAAGTTCTAAGTGGACAGCCTTTTCTGTTTTTGTGTTTTTATTGGAGGGGAGTGTGGAACGAACGCGGAGCACGGAAGCTTTGTCCAACCCCATCGCTTAGCGTTCGTATTCGTTAAATTCTCACCGAAGGTTTAGCCTAAAATATTCGAGATAGACTCAGTCAGAGGCTCGACACGCGACAGTAGGCTGACGATTAGTTGGTATATTATAGTGAAACGTACATGACGTAACCGTTTCCGTTGCGTGCTTCCACTGACTTTTCAATAGCGGGCGGTATAGACCGGCTGTTGTTGAAATTAGCGGCAAACCGCGATAGAGAATTGTTTAAATAATTATAATTTTGTTAGAAAAATATGTCAGATCAAAGCTCAGGGGGTCACGGAAAATTTGCAGGTGTACTGCTTCTCCTTCAAGGATTGTTGATAATCTTATTTGTAGTCTTCGTTTGCTATAGTGATGATCTTCTACCAGAGACTGTTGCAGCAAAAAACTCGAAGGGCGGCACAACTGATGCGAAATATTCTGGTACGTTTATATTATGTGTCAATTTTTATTTTGATGTTTTTCGTCACCCTTCAACAAATTTTTCTCTCTCCAATATTAAGAGCTATCAGGAGAAAATTACAGGCTATGATGTGGCACAGTTATGATCTATGATTTTTCCTTTAAAGATAAATGTTATTTTTAAATATTTATTTTAAGTAGTGTTCTATTCTTTTCTTCTTACACCAGTATTTTGTTTAATTTTAATTAAAAAGTTGTATGGTGATTAGCATAACGTTGAATGTCCATTCTCCGATTTTTTTCTAGTTTCCTTTTTCTATTTTTTTTTCTGTTAAAAAAACTCTTATTAAGAAGTGAAAATCTACAGTGTTGGAGTGTTGCCTCCAATTATCTTTCTTGATAGATTTTCTGAATGTATTAAGTCCTGATTTTTATATCTTATTTAGTGTTTGAAGGACTACATTTCATGGTTTTCATTGGGTTTGGACTTCTCATGACATTTCTGAAGAAATATGGATTTAGTTCCCTGGGATATAATTTTCTTATATCTGCTTTGGTTATTGAGTGGTCTACAATGATGCAAGGATTTTTAGACATGAAGAACAGCAAAATTCAAATTGGATTAGAAAGGTAATAAGCAGGTTTTTGGTGATAAAAGTTAATTGTTGATTAATTAATTATTGATCCTTCTGATCTGAAGATCTGAATGTCAATTCTCTACATTGTCTGCCATACTTCTCACAAATTTAGCTCTGAGAATTTTGTGTTAAATGAGATGACAACCCTTGGTTAACATTTTTATTTCTTCTCATTACCTTTCTGTGTAAAAATATATCAATATTGTGAGGAGAAGCTCTCTTTTGGTCACTCCCCCTGGGTGAAGGGGCTGATCTCTTTGCCTTTATTCATCCAAACCATGCTTTAAACAGTTTTAAATCAAGCAGAAATATCACCAAAATAATCAAGGTTTCTAAAACTGTGACCCATGTTTAGACCATGTTTTAATAACCAACCCTTTGGGTCTATTTGTCATCTCAAGCCAGTTTTCTCTTGTCAATGAATTACTTATACCCAGCAAGAAGTAAATTACTAGGTACTATACACCAGTTTTCTGTGATGTGTTATATTTTAATGGATGTGGACATTGGACAGTTTTCATAATTCTTATCTTTTAGACACTTGTGCACCTGACTGCTGAAGTTATTCAATATTAGGACTTCATACTTTAATTTTGTTTTATGCCACTTTCTTTTTTTTCTTTTTTTTCTTTTCGGTTTTCATTGTTTAGCATGATCAAGGGTGACCTCGCTGCAGTGGCTGTGACAGTCACCTTTGGAGCATTACTTGGAAAAACAAGTCATCACCAGCTGCTAATTATTTCATTTATTGAAGTGATACTCTACTCTGCCAATAGAGCAATAGGCATCAAGATTTTCCATGCAGTGGATGCTGGTAGTTCAATGTATGTTCACACATTTGGTGCCTTCTATGGTCTTGCTGTGTCACGCATATTATATAAAAGCAAAATTGTGGCTCATGAGAAAGAGACCTCCAGATATACATCTGATCTTTTTGCCACAGTGGGTAAGTGAAAAAATCTTGGGAGATACATCATGATACAAACTTACAGCATTGGACAGATGTATTAAATCTTAGCCCTTATACTCCCGTAAGTGACCATGACAGAATTTCTCCTTACAATTTCAATACAACAATATCAAGCCAAGAAGTGATGAGAGTGAGGATTATTATTGATCCCATATCAAATTCTCCAAACTAATAACATAAGAATTGTATTGTAGATATTAAGGAGAATTACCAGTGAGATTTTGCGAGTGAAATGGTTATCCTGCTGTAATGAGTTAGGATATTTTGAGAAAGTCAGCACTGGATATTACTGGAACATTCCTCTTACTGATGACCTAACCAATGACTTTCCCAAATAGTTTATACTTTTCAAGCTAGAGGTATACTCATGAGAGAGTTTGGATTTTGGGACCTGTACTGGAAAGGTTGAGGGAAACATGAATTGTATTTTTTATAAGATCTAATACTGGATCCATTTTAATTTAGACGTTTCACTCTTTTCTTTTATTGTATGGAGGAAAGTGTGGAATTAGTTTGATGCAACTTTTAATTTTTATTTTAGGAACAATAGTCCTATGGGTTTGCTGGCCAAGCTTTAATTCTGTGCTAGTGGAAGGGGTCGCAAGGCAACGAGCCATTGTTAATACATACTATGCCATCATAACCAGCTGTGTTACTTCTTGTGCATTCTCAGCCCTAATGACAAAGGGATCAAAACTAAGTATGGTGAGTATTATACATTTCCTTTTGTTTGTCAACCGTGTTTATTATATTTAATGAAAAAAATGATTCATTGGAAATAATGGTTCCAATATCTAAATTCATTTGGTACCTGGTATTGTTCATTCAAAATGTTTACCCTACTGAATCTAATTGTTCATTGGAAATCTGAATTCTTGATTTCACTGTGACCTTTATCAGAATTACAATGTTTGTTGTTTCCCATGACAGAAGCTTGTAGACACTAGTTTCTTTTTAATTTTGAATAAAAACTATGATTGTGAATCCCTCGCATTGATGGCATTGCTATCCAAAGTGGATTAGTGTGACTCCAAGAAAAGTCTCTTGAGATGGCTTGTCACACTGCATTGGAATATTTGAACATCTTTTGGATGGATGCTGTGATTTGTGAACCAAGCAAGTTGTTTGCTCACTGATTAGAAAAGGGATCTTTCGGTTTAGAAATTGGAGAACAAGGATCTTAGTTTATTCTTTGACTCATGTGAGTGATTAAGGTCTAATTTCCTCTTATATCTTAATTGCTTTGTCAGACAGAGTTCATCGGCTGGTCATATTGTGTGGACATGACTTGCAACAAATTCTTAGAAATTGCTGAGAAGGAAGATTTTAGTTGTCTGTTAAGGGAAATTAAAGGCTCAGTCCCAAGCTTAGTTTTGAAAGTAGATCTTTTGGTAATGGCTGTTTATCATCTCTTCCATATATTTACAGGTTCATCTCCAGAATGCCAGCCTGGCAGGGGGTGTGGCTGTGGGTACAATTGCACCCATGATAATTCAGCCATGGGGTGCAGTGCTGATAGGGTTTGTAGGCGGGGCTTTAAGTACCTCGAGCTTTAAATACACTCAGGTATTAAGGAGACAATTTTACTATTTAGTCTTTGATATGTGATCTGTTTCCAAATAAATAAGTTTACAAATGAATTAATTTCTTCTTTTATTGCATCTTGATACTGGTCAAATTTACACTTTTGCATCCATTTTTCTACATTTTGTTTTTCAGCCTTGGCTCATAAGAAGGCTTAAAGTTCATGACACTTGTGGAGTTAACAGCTTGCATGGATTACCAGGGATCTTGGGAGCTGTAGCAGGAACCATCTCTTCTAGTATTGCTGGCTATAAACAGTACAAAACAAGGTAAGGATCAACATGGAACTTCTCCCTATAATATCTATGCATTATCCTGTAAACTAGTATTGAGAAAACTCTAACTTATCAGGTAGAAGTTGTTATTTTGATCTAACACTAGATTTTCATAACTGATATACAAGGAAATGTGTAGCAGCTAGATCTGGGAGTTAAAGGGTTAAAACAATTTGCTGATTTATGATGTGCAATGGTTATTCAGGGATTAGTTCAATTAATATATATTTATTCAGGATAGTTCAAGTTAAAGGAAGATGTAAAATTAGCAACCTTGAATTTTGTGTGGTAAATACTGTATATGGTATTTTGTTTTTACTGATTTGACCAAATATCTTCAAGAGGTATTTTTTTATGCACCCAGTCCTTCAACATTGATGAATTTAGAGTCTTAACAACTCATTATTCTGTTAGAAATATTTGTTTGTGGATTCATTTTAACAGTGCCATGAAGGATTTAAGCACAGCTGTACAAGATACATGACTTTGTGAATTGCGTGTACGACAAAAGAAAATAAGATATTAACAAGGATAAAAATGAATTGTCATATGTATGAAAATACACACATGGAAACATGTGCAATATTGCATGTTTCTTGATGGTTTCTTCACTAGTAAAACCGCTGTTGAATACCAAAGTTAAAATATTTTGACCATTGATTTTATGAGCATGAGGCAAGTTAAGTTGAATTTTTCATAAAGTTGCTAATTCCACAGTTCAGTAGTTCATTCTAAATCTGTAGAATAGTGAAGGTTTTTTTGGCCTCTTGCAGTTCCTACTTCATATTTTTCAGGTCTAACAATCTTCATCATACTTAATGTTTTGCCTATTTTCAGTCTCTATACAGTATTTCCTGCAAGAGCTCCCATTTTCAATAGTACCCAGTACTTTGAGTTGGTGAAATTTGACCCAGATGCTGTGGATGGACTAGGGTGGAGTTCAGGGAAACAAGCAGCATTTCAGTTTGCTGCACTAGCTGTTACATTAGCTCTAGGAATAGCTGGTGGACTCCTAACAGGTTAGTTGTTGCCCTTAAGCTATGATACCAGTAGATAGCAGTATATATAACCAGCTTCACTATATACAGTACATTGTCAAGCTAAGAAGAAAAGAGAGAAATAATCCTCACTTGTTGAAAGATACTATCTTGTGTGCAATAGCAGCAGGGTAAAATTTCTCTCTTGTGGTATATGTATCAGTCTCATTGAGCCATGTCAAGCATATTCAGACAGAATATTCAGCATCAGGAGAAATTTTAAAAAATTAGTAATGTCACGCATATGGATTGCTCCCACATTCATACCTTGTTTGACATTTTTCACAATGCAGACAGCCTATTAATCTTAAGGCTGATGTACCTCTCTCTGACTCTCTTATCATGTGAAATTTATACAAGAATTTACTTGGTAATTTTTTTACAGGTGTCATTGTCAAGCAGCCATTTTTTGATCCTTTAAGGGATGAAGCATTGTATGATGATGGAGAGTTTTGGGAAGTAAGTGTTGTTATTTCAGTTTTTGAAAGGGCAAGTACATGTACAAAGCACCATGAGGTGCAACATACTTGATGTACGCAATCTAAAAACAAGATAATTGGATTGATGGGTGATCAAAAAAAATGAATGAGGAAGACTTTTCCTATCCCCCTTCCCATGAACTTCCTCTCCACTCTAAGAGGTTTACTCCAAAATACTGGCTCTTGTTGATTTATGGTGGTCATAATTTTGTTGTTCAGTTAATGAACCTTAATGGATGGAAAGTGGTTGGAATGTTTAAAAGAAGCCCTTATGTTTAATATAAAATAATGGCACTCTATGCACTGGATAGACACTTATAGGCAGAATAGTGGCATCTTTCCTTTTGGTAACTGTGTTGGGAGTTTCTGTCAGTAATTGTGAAGAAAAGTTCCTTGAAAACACATGTCAGCCAACAGTTGGCTGACTGGCCACTGATGAGTAACCAACAGGACACTGACAGGTTACTTATTGGCAATAAACCCAAGAATTAATGTCCAAAACAAAACTTTTACGGTACTATATATATATGCTTTTAAATATTGAAATAAGTCTACATATGTTGAATCACTTTTGAAATGAGATGAGACCTCTTTTTTTAATGACATCATTCCTGGAATCTTTCAAAGGAAGAAGTGTTTTGAATCAGTTCTTAGAGCTTTGCAAACCTCTTTTTGGTGATGTATGTATTGATAATGGAGTTTCAACTTATGACTTTAACAGGTCCCTGCTGATTTTCGTCCATTATCTGGTACTGTATATCCTCCAAGAGAAAATGGTGCCGTGCAGGCAGAACAAGTTGAATCATTAGTCCAACAAGAAGAAAATGAATCAGAAGAACAGGCTGATGGTCAAGTGTAAAAACAATATTAACATGCAATGATTATCTTTTATTGGTACTGATTGAGTACTTCTGTAAAATACAGGTACTTATTGTAATTTGTAAGGAATATTTTTTCCAATTTATATAAGATTTTGTATTAAAAAGAAATTATTAGACAATCAATAGGAAACAGTTTTTTCTCATTCAACATCAAAGAAATTCCATTATCAACTACTGAAAGAATATTACATTCCTTTTTGCAATCTGTGAAAGTGACATGTAAAGGCTGTTTGTTTTTCCTTCAAATGAAAGACAGGATAAATGACTTTATTCTTTAACTCTGATCTGGTTTTTAACCCTCCCTTTTAGATGTTATACATTTCATTGTGAATTAAGGGAGAAATTGGTGTGAGATCAGAGTAACTAGAGTTAATACTTTGGCTTTTTTTTTGCAAGCACTGAAAAGTGTGTGTCAGTTGTGAACTAAAATCAAAAAGCCCTCAGCTAAAATGTTTAGCAATTCCTATTACTTATTTTCTGGGTAACGTTTGTAGAGGATAAATAACGTATTTATCACATCCAAAAGTGGAAGGTGTTCATCTTAGTTCTATATTCCCATGTCTAAGGTGTAACACTCAGAATTGAAGAGACTGATTGACATATTTCCATTAATTAAATAGACCGAATTTTGCATTGATGAACAAGTCAAGTAGGGGATGCCATTCCCCTCCCTTAACCCCTTACACCCCTGACATCAGTATGCATATTCTCTATACTTTTCTCTACACATTTCCTACAGAGCTGACAAGGAGAATTTGTTTAACAATCAAGAGCTTCTTGGGTTGGTGATCATTTCCTTTATCCTCATGACCTTATTGTGTGATCTGGGGGTGATTTCGTAATGAGAAATTAGATGCTGTTCACTCTCAGGGGTCAGAGGGTAAAAAAGAAAAAGGCCTCATAGGGTTTTTAAGGTTTCATAAGGGATGGTAAGGTGTATGTTAGGCCAGATTATTTAACCTTACAGATCTCAACAATTTAAGAATGATAAACAGACCCAAAAAACCATAAGGGATTATATGGTTAAAAGTCACTTTTGTCCATATATATTTTACTAGAGAAACCGTTAATAAGGAGAATTTAAGGGAGTTTTTTGCAGGTATTTTAACTCATTACAAAGGGGTTGCAGACGTAATGTTATCCTTGTGACCTTATTGTGTGATCTGGGGGTGATTTGTAAGGAGAAATTAGATGCTAATCACTCTTAGGGATCAAAGGGTTAAAAAAAAAAAAAAAAAGGCCCCAAAGGGTTTTTAAGGTTTCATAAGGATGGTAAGGTGTATGTTAGGCCAGATTATTTAACTTTACAGATCTCACCAATTTAAGAATGATAAACAGACCCAAAAAACCATAAGGGATTATATGGTTAAAAGTCACTTTTGTCCATATATATTTTATTAGAGAAACCGTTAATAAGGAGAATTTAAGGGAGTTTTTTGCAGGTATTTTAACTCATTACAAAGGGGTTGCAGACGTAATGAGATTTTTAAGTTGTTGTGTAGCATGTTTTATACAGAACAAAAAAATTATCTATCAAGCCTAAAGTAGAAATTCATAGATCTTTTGAAATTTTAAGAATATTGTGCTTATTTAATCAGCCAAATATTTATCATAGGATATGGTTAATGAACTGTTTTAACCTTCAGTTAGCAGGGAACCCAAATTGAAAATATTGAAACTTAACTAAACAATATAAATAAACATTTATGGGATCATCTGTGTATGTTTTGCTTTTATATTTCCATGGTGTTCCTTTTTTAGTCCTGTGGAGGTAAACAAGTTTTCCTTTTAATCCCATTTTGGCATTGACTCTTTGACAGGATTGCAATGCTGAATTTTTTTAGGGATCAAATGCTTGAAAGGGTAGGCATCCCATTTCATTATGTCCAGATCTGGGATTTGATTGGCAATTGAAAGAATATGATGATTCAAAGTTGCAGTGCACTCTTCTTCAGTGACAATGCACCAGGTTCATTTTATTTCCACTTGAAAAAAAATTGATATGATATGTACAACAGGGTCCTGGAGAAACCTCACCCTTAGGTTTCTTGCAAAGTATGAACCCAGGACCAAGGGGAGGTGAGAAGGGGAGGTGGGAAGGGAAGGCCCGAAGTGGAGGCCCCATACTGAGCCCTAACATTGAAAGTTGTATAGGTGTGTTCTTCTTGTAGGTAAACTTTGATTGAAAATGCCCCTGATAGTTGCTCAAACGTTAGCTTTACTATCTTGGAACTAGCCTGAAACAGACCACGCACTGCCTTTATATGCATGTAGGCGACGGGCTCTTGAAACAGAACAGAATGGCAAGCAGCGAAAGCTACGTGTGCTGCTCGCTAAACGCGTGTTGCCGCGCAATCTCGCGTGCTGCATGCTTGTCAGACGAAAAACCCTGGGAACTAGTTGAACTTTATTTAATATGGCGACGTGGCTGCAGTCGAAACCGTGTACAACTGAATGAACTTACTATTTTGACTCCAAAAGATGACGGAAAACGGCACCTTGAGCATCTTTTGCCGTTGAGTACATTTCTTCTCTTGTTTGATGGTGTTTGGATGGAAAAAATGATGTCACGGCAGCTGAAAAACTCAGAAATGGAACCATGCGTTACACCGACACTCAAATGAGTTGCCTCAGGTAAGCGCGGATGAAATCGTGGTTTAATTCTCCACTTTTGAGGTCTATAGAACGAATTGTATATATTTACTTCTCGAATTTAAGTGAAATAAATAAAATATGAAATGCTTATAAGGGCCAATCTCCGTGTCGAAGAAAAAGTTTTGTAAAAATTTACATCAAATAACTGTTGTCCACCCAAATGACTCCTGAGATGTGTTTGGTGACAAAATATCCGGTAAAATTTCCGCACAGCCCCATACTACATTATGTATTCAGTTCTTGGGTAGAGAAAACAATGACAAAAATAATTCATTGCCATTGGGAAAACAGATTTGTTTTACAATAGTATGGGGCTGTACGGAAATTTTACCAAATATCCTGGTCCTTGAATTTCAGTTGCACAAACATCTCTTGATTTCACTTGCATGGAGTGATCTTTGCTAATATATAGATTTAGCCAAGCCAAAAAGCAGAGCTCACATTTTTTTTTCCGCATGTCTCAAGGGCACAATGCCTTGCCCCGGCCAGGACTAGAACCCGGGTTGTCCGACTCAGAGCCCAGTGCACTGACCACTGGATTACTGTACAAAGCTGTGGCGTTGGCGTGCCCGCAGTACAGTTGACCATGCATGTTAAAAGTAACACCTTGTACGGTCGTACAGTCTTACAGCCGTACAGTCTTACAGCTGTACAGTCATACATCCAAATTTTTTTGGCTAGATGGGTTACTACTATTTTTTATAATTATGGGGCTACACTCTGCGAGCTCTGCTATAATCTCTGTGTATTTTGCAAGACCATGAATGGGAAAACATAAAAAAGAGAGGAGTAAAAGTGAAGACTAGCTGTAAAAGTATTTAAGAAATTGGATGTGAAATGGCCAAAAAATGTCACTTAAACAGATAAGGACCTACAGTTTACATATACCTCGCTACTTGCTCTCAATCAGCAACCATCAGTGAGTTCTGGCAAGCTCAAGCAGCTCACAGGGTGAAATAAGAAATTGCCTGTGAGCAGAATCCTAGATAGTTTCAACACAATGTCTCTGTGCTTCTATGGGCAGTCTGCATTTCTACAAATCAGAGTGTTGTCATAACTTGACATGTGGTCACTCCTAAAGGGGTGAAATATTTTCAAAACTTTGGGAGTGAAAAAATATTAACTGGAACTTTGATTTTTAAGTAAGTGTGTCTTTTTTCAACAAATTAACAGAGTGAAAACTTAAAGGATTTCCTTGGTGTTTGGCAGTCCTGCTGACACTGTACCCTGCAACAGTTCAGCCACTGGGCTAGGAATTTATGACAGGAGGGTGGCTGAGTGTCAACCAATGGGGCTCAAGAGAGGGTGCAGTTGAGACTGTAAATATATGTTGGCTTTTTTTTTTTTTTTTTTTTTTTTTTTCGATTAGGTGCAATGTTCATGAAATCTATCTACATTACTTGGGTCTTTTCCAAACAATTATTTGTAATTTACCAGGGACTTTGCATGCAAAAGGCCTATGAAAATTACATAAACTGATGTGGGGTGATGCTCTTGCAAAAGTTAGGGGTAATTCAAGACAGCACCTCACCCCTCACAAGAAGACTTATAGTGAAAATCTGTATGATTTAATCTCCATTTCTTATCTTAGACGAGATAAAGAGTACAATGCACAAACAAAGGAACAAAGAGAATTGACTACCTCAGCAGTGTATTAGAAAGTGGTATGTAGTTATTCAGGTGAGAAGACTAATAGTATCAACTTGAGTTATCATGGGACCAGACAAATGTAATGTTAACTTTAAGTGAATTGTAAACTTGTTGTAAGTAAATTGATACAATAGAAAATTGCAGATCTAGGAAAAAAAATTAGATTCTGCAGATTACAAACTACAATGTGACAGAACTGGACAACACAAAGTCCTGTTACCAATTAATTAAAACTATGACAGAATTTGAGAAAGAAACTAGACATTGGCTGTATGTTTTCATAAGAAAACAGCTGTTAACGTGGAAAAATGCATGACACACAGGCACGACATGTAAACTGTCCAATTACAAGGTCCACTATTTGTACGCAAACCAGGCTGGTAATTATTTCTAATTTTCTAGAATTTTGTCATAGTTTTGATTAATTATTTTATTGGACTGACTGAATGCCTGACTTTCCAATTGTTTGACTGACTCATGGAATGAAGTTTATGGAAGTTTCACCACACAGCAAGTTTTCCCCTACAAGGATAAGTTTGCCCCATCAATTAAAAGAAGTTTGCCACTTAGCTATTCTTCCCATCAGTTAGCATTGACAGATATTCTGACCAACTGACTGACTGACTGACAGACAGACTGACTAACTGACTGACTCACTCATTCACTTACTTACTAATCGACTGACAAATCAACTGACTTGTGGAATGTCTTAATGTCGTAATGACCAACTGATCACTTGTCTGATTGAGTGATGGTGAGACCTAGTGACTGACCAACTGACAACTATTAGAATGTTAGTCTGGCTGATTGACTGCTAGACTGAATAACGCACTTTCCACTCGACTGACTAGTAGACTAAGCGGCTGCCTGGCTATTGATGGACCGAGCAGTTGACTGACTGAGTTAGTGGCTGACTCTATGACCAAGTGACTGATTGGTGAACTGATTTGGTGACTGAATAACTGACTGACTGATGACTGATGGACTGACCAATTAGTTTACCAATTGGTAGACTGACTGTAAAACTGAGACATACTGAATGACTTGTCTAAGAGACTTGTGGACTGATTGGCTGACCAAATAAGTGACAGTCTCTGTGTCAGACTGGCTAACTGGGTGGCTGGCCTAAAGACCACTGTTGGACTGGTAGCTGATTGGATTGCCTGTTCCAGGTGTTCTGTCAGTAAAATGATGTGCCATGTGAAATTAGCTTGATAGAAAATGAATGAACAAGGTTAGGGTCAGGTCCCACATTGTGCCATTTGTTAAATTAGCTCTAATTTACTAACTGAATGGCTGGAACAGGCTACTGGTTGAATGACTGAGTTACTGGCTTTCGTGAATGGCTAGATCACTGACTGACTGACTCTGATGAACTAACTGACTGTTGAAGTTATACTTTGCTACTCTTCTTTGATGGGTTGCAAGACCTTTACAGGTTCCCAAATATTTGTTTGTTTGCTTTATAGGTATCACCTTGTCATATTGAAACATATTATGGGTATCACCTTGTCATATTGAAACATATTATGGGTATCACCTTGTCATATTGAAACAGCCAATAATTGGAAGACACCCTCTCTAAGAGCAAAATGAAAGTGGCTGTTGTTCAGGTGGAATGTCTTCCCTACTTCAATCAAGCTCAACTCAGAGGTATTGTGGGTGAGTCCAGACATCATTACTAAACCAATATTAATAGTACATTTTACAATTGACCAGTCTAATATTCTCTGACTAACTGACTGACTTATGGTGAATCAAATGATAGAATGACTGACTGACTGACTGAGAGGTGAATTTTATGACTGAATAACAACTGAATGAATCACTGTGTGATTGTCAGACTGACTGACTCACTTACTGGATTGCTGGTTGACGGACTGACTTTTGGACTGACTAATCAGTTAACCAACTGGTGTGCACTGTTTGATTGACTGAATGAGTGACATGTGTAAATTAGTGTCCAGCCAAGATACTTGTGGACGGACTTACCGACAGAGTGACTAACCTGCGAAATGACTTTGTGAGTGACAGACCCACTAAGTAGGTTGAGTAGGCTGACTGACTGAATGATTGATTTACTTATTGAGAAACTGACCAAGTAATGGACTGACCGATTGATCAATCAACTGACCTGAAAATAGACTATCTGACTGACCTGTGGACTGAGCAGCTGACTGAAAGAGTGACTGACTAATTGGTGACCAACTAGTGGACTGACTGACCAACCAAGTTACTACCTGGTTAACTGACTTACTGACTGGATGGCTGGTTTACTGAGTGACTGATGGACTTACAGTCAAGTCAATGGAATAGTGGACCGTTTGGATGAGTGACTTACTAGGAAACCAATCAAGGGACGTACATTATCAATTGGTATCATAGTTTCCTCTATGCAAGACAACAGTGTGTTGTTAGTTATAATTTTTTAGGACAGTGGAAACTTGTCAATAGAGGAACCACACAAGGTAGTGTAAGCGGACCGTATCTTTTTAATATATTTTTGAACGATTTGGAGATTTTTTTTAATGGTTGCCCTGTGCTTTTTAAATATGCCGATGATTCCACTATTCTTTCGCCTATCACTAGGAATAGTGACCCGTCTGCCGACTTAGTAGGACAGTTCTTAACATGGTGTAAAGACAATAGAATGGTCTGCAACCCTTGCAAATGTAAAGAGCTGGTTGTTAGAAAGAAAAATCATAATGTACTCTACTCTCCAATTAATAATATTCCCCAATGTAATAGCTTCGTTTTATTAGGAGTAACTTTACAGAGTGATGGAAAATTTGATGAGCATGTAAGAACTAAGCTTGTCAAAGCAAACAAGTGTTTACACGTCCCCACGAACATTGAGAAAGGAACATTACTCTCAGGCAGAGATTGATCATCTTTTTATATCGATTGTTTTGGCTAATTTTAGCTATGCACTTTCAGTCTATGGGGCATCTGAGTCCGATCTTACGGTTGTACAAAAATTTTTTAGACCGATGTCATAAACGCGGTTTTATCTCATTTCCAGTTTTTATCAAGAACCTTTTAAACAAACAAGACAGAAACATTTTGAAGAAACTAAAATCAATGGATTGCCACCCCTGAAAGATATCATTCCTGTCCAAAAGACATATCTACACAATCTCAGAAAAAAAAAGGCTGCTGTGCGCCGAAAATTAATACACAGCGCTTTATGAACACATTTGTAAATAGGTTGATATTTAAGCTCCATTTATTGTAATGATATACTTTTTAATTCATAATATGTATGTAGATTTCTGTAGTTTTTTCAATTCATTGTAACATAAGATATGTAGTTTTATCTTATGATGGAATAAAGACTAAAGAAGTTAAGACTGACTGGCTGTCTGATTGACTGACTTGCTGACTGAGTGACTGACAGACACACACTGACTGGCTCAATGGCTGACCAGTTGACTGACTGTAAGACTGTCCACTGACTGACTTACAGTGTACTGTGTAACTGACTTAGAGACTAGCAGTCTGGCTTAATGACCATGAGACTGATTGGATGACTGATTAGCTGAGTAAGGGGGTGACAGACACACTGACTGGTCTGATGAATGGCTGAGTGACTAATCACTTAACTTGCTGCTGGACTGGCTAGCTTACAGTGACTGCCTAATTGGAAAGTTAAATGAATATTGCTGGGTAAGTTTCTAAAGAAACTGGTGCTGTGTTGGTTGGAGAGTATAACAGGGTAATTTAGTATTATCAACTGAGTTGATGACATAAATTGGCCACCATTAAAGAGTTTTAAAGCTGACGTTTCAAGCATTAGCTCTCCGTCTAAGCAACTGGAAAGTTGCCCAGATGACTAATTGACTAGGTCTGCATTTGATTGAGTTACCAATTTATTTAGACCAAACGACTGGCTGATTTACTGACTGACTGGCAAATAAACTCACTGATTGACGGACTAACAGACTGACCCACTGACTGATAACTCGCTTACTCACCAACTCGCTAACCATCTATCTGAATGACTTACTGGCCATTTAATTGTCTGATGCACCAACTTACTGACTGACTTTTTAACTGAATGATTTTAAACATTTGTAACAGTTAATGGTTGGGTGAAGACAAGAGAATTTTAATGAATAGCCAAATTTTACTTAACTTGGTAAGTTTTAACTTAAGTGTGCGAAAATACGATCAATTTAAAAATTAATCAGCCAGTACATAATTGACCAACTCAAGTATAGTGAATGAAAATAAAGAAAATGAAACAAAAAATGGCGGGAAAATTTTAAGATATGGTTTTAGGAGTGATGGACAGATGAATTGACGAGATTATTGGGTAAAACACTGCAGACCCCTGAGGATTCAGTAAGGCAACACCAAGGAAGACGTTTATTGAAAAATGATCTCGCGAATGGCTGGACGTGTTTACCGTCTCTTAAAGCACCACAAATCAAATTCAGCATAACTTATGTGAGCGTCATTTAGTTCCAAGTGGAAACTTAAGTAACTTGCTACCTGGGTCTCTTTTCCAGAACACTCACAGTTTGGTGCTTTCACGTTGTTGTTTTGCAGAGGATAAAGAAATGTACAAAGTGTTAAAAAGCACGTGCCGAGCCCTTGTTCTGCTCGTGAGATCTTTTTTTTTTACCACGTCCCACGTCCTCGTGTTGTGGTTTGCTTCAGGTTCTTAATGTGGCCAATTTGTTAATCTTTTCTGTTCTTGAATCAATTTTTTGCAGGGGAACAATTTTCCCTTGAGGACTGCATTCGTGGAGGAATTGTTAGTGTTGTCAACGTGGATTGAAAGTTTCAAGCTAATAGAGTTGATGTTGTGATTACAGGTTAGAAAGTGATGCATCAAGAAAACCAAATCCTTCAAGTTAAGATGTTGCGATGTACTCTCGACCATGTAACATATTCACTCTGAAAAATTGTTGAGAATTAATCCACATTTCAGATCGCGCTGTAATCGTAGCGGGTGAGTTAGGGCGTTCAGCCAAAGAGAGGTTGATCCTTGCCCTTGATTAACTTAACAAAGTAAAAATACCCCTGCTGTTTGGCTTTGAAGATATTGTTGGAAATTTTTTGGTCCTGCTCTTTTCGCTTCAGTGTTCAATCCGACTAGTATCATACAACGATTATAGTATTAAAGAGTCGTTTCTAAAATTATCTCGAAGTGCTGTGCACATAATCAGGAAGCCAATTGCTTGTTGATAACTTTTTCCCCTAAGGACATGTTTTAGCTTTCTTTTCTTTTCATTGTTAACTAGTAATTTAAATGAATAATTTGAATTCGATTTTAACATATTTGTATCTGATAACTCCGCAGGAAGCTTTCTATGAGCGACGTTTTACTGATATTGTTTAATAGAATGCGTTAATAACCCGATGATAAAAAGAAAAAAAAACTTGAAAAAGAAGAGACACAAAATTCAGAGAAAGAGTACATTTATTGCCTTCTAGTTGAGGATCATCCCGTCACCAATTGTACAAAAGTACCGTTGTAATTTTATCAAACGGCGACTCAAAATCCCTTTGTTCGAGGTTTTACTTTTCTTGAGATTTTACTAAGTGTTTTGATTACTTGTAGTTCGTTGAATCATTGCTAGAAGTGGCCATCTAACTATAGCTTTTTTCCTTTTACTTTTAGTGTCGAGAGCGTCAAGATGGTTTCATAACAAGGAACATAGACGAACAGGAAGTTGATAAAAGAAGGAGAGCAGGACGTGTACATTTACTTCGAGTTCATTTACTCTGACACTACCACATTAGAGTAGGAGACAGTTTTCGTAGATTGTGTTATTTATTCTCGTCTGAATATAATAAATCTTCAAACGTTGTTATCTCTAACTGTTGTCTTAAAGTTGAAGGAACAAAAAGTGGACCAATGTACATTTACTTCGAGTTCATTTACTCTGACACTACCACATTAGAGTAGGAGACAGTTTTCGTAGATTGTGTTATTTATTCTCGTCTGAATATAATAAATCTTCAAACGTTGTTATCTCTTACTGTTGTCTTAAAGTTGAAGGAAAAGTGTTTGTAAAAGCTACCTACCTTGTGGTAATAATATTTATTTCAAACGCATGCGTTTAGTGTAACAAAATGATTGTCTAAATACACATGCGTATTAAAAGATGTTGTTACCACAAAGTAGACAACTTTTATCAATATTTAAAAAACTGTTTATAAGAGGTGGGTGTGGTGGGGGACGGTGGCGGATCGACCCCCAATTTTTGGTTCTTTCCAAGGGTGACATTTTTCCTTGATGTGGTCATTTTTCACGTTTATCCGTCCTTCTTTTGAAATCTGTGAAAAGATAAAGAGTTCTGTTCTTGTTTTGTTGTTCTGGTTCCACAAATGATAGGTTCCCCGAGATTTAAATTAGCGAGCTACTCAGGAAATCTTGTCGCTCAATTAAACTAGCAAACTTACCGAGTTTGTTTCGAATGTTTATATAGAAAACATCACAGTAACTTGCAAGTCGGCACAAGGATTCTTTTTGGTCAGCACTTCGGTGAACCAATATGTTTTACCTGGAAAAAAAAAGATAATGGTGTGAATAAAAAGTGAGCTAGAACTCGACATGAACGCCGTAAGAATATCTATCAACCGTAAATAACTAAAATACTCTACATTGAAATGATAATGCTTCCCTGTACTGTAGTAACGAGCCATATTCAATAAAGTTTTCTTTATCTTAATAGCGGAGCATAAAAGTCTCTCTTGGTTTGATTGATTGCCTCTTAACCACATTAAAGGAGATGAAAAGTCAGATCCTCCCAAAAGTAGCTTATTCATCAAAAGCAACGTTTTTTGGCGACAGACGGCCGCTATCTCGAATAAAATCATAAACCCCATTAATCTCTTCCAAAATCATAAAAAACCACGACATTGGTGGCAACGGAATATTTTGGTAATGTTGTATGTAGTATTCGTCATGGAAAAAAAATCATTACATTTCCCAAGATATCCACACTATGGTTAAAAGAGGCGCCAAGTCACACTTACCGTTTCTTGAAAAATTTAGCCCATATTTTTTTTTTGGAAACCTTTTCGAGTCGTCTCTATTCTTTGTCATTGCTGCTCCTAATAAGTTTATATTCATTTCATCAAATTTTTAATATGTTTGTTGATTATCTAAATTACTCAATTGAAATTCTGTAGTTTGATACAAATTTGAGACAATTTTGGGCGCCGCTAAAACACGATTCAAAATCACTTGACGATGCCCCTTGATTTATGTCCATTATAATGAAACTAGTGGAAATAATGAACCAAGGGGGGGTCTCTCCAAGTTCTTTGTTACTGGAAGTAAACTAAAGCTGAAAGTACAGAGACTGAAGTGCTATATTGACACACTAACGACCAACGACTACACTAACGACAAGATTGACAGGAATGTGAAGACATACGATCTTAGAGATTGACCCATCCTTCAAATCGCCCTGGCTCTATCGATTACTCTTTATCTCCTCCAACAGTTCCACACTGGGCGACTCGATCTGCCAATCGCGCCATCGCATACCACATCCCGGCGATTTGATTCGCCGGTATTTACCAGAGGGGTGCGTTACGGAGACTAGTCCAAAACGGAAATAATGCGCCTCCCAACAATTGGTGACTTACAAAAGACCAATCGTCTTTGAACCTATTTAGAGCTCTAAGGTATTCCTTGGCCCATAATCTAAAGACCTATTACCCTAATATATAACGTCGAGGTGTCTAAATACTCCCATAATGTTTAAAGTCTCTGAGTTTTCTCGGTTTTTTATTTTGAACTCTTAACTGAGCAGTGAGAAGGAACTGGCATGCAGAAAAATGAATCATTCTTCTGTAAGCAAGTTGCGAGGTGACATGTCTGTTGTGGGAGATTTCGTAAAAGAGTTGTGCTCGAGCCGTAAAATGTCAAAATTTAACTCGCAGCGTTTCAAGTACTTGTCGTTTCAGTCCCCATCTCCCCCCCACCGGCTCCCCTGCGAAAAGATTCAGTAAATTGTACAGTAAATTCTGATCGGCCGGTGTAAAAAAACCAGCTCTGTCATGTACCTAAAAAGATCCGTCAATTGTAGCGAGGAAACCCAATAGAAGCTTAGAGAAAATTAAATAAGTTATTATGTTTTTGTTGTTTGCTTCTGCTTAAATTGGATCATGCAGCAATCTGAAAATAACGAAGTATTTACCATTAGCATCTCCTGAAGTTGATCAGCGTCCAGTTATCCGCTACGATTCAAGACGTTTGAATATAGACGATATTTGGACTCTTCCTTGGGTCCTGTGTCAAGGATGAAAGAATAAAAAATTAACCAACTTTTTTAAAAAGAAAATCTTTGACAACTCCATAACTATTGACGCGTAACGCAATTTTTAAAAAGGGGTAATCTTCTAATCTTTTTTTGATATGCTTATTTGGTGAAACTAACTGCGCCTTTGTGGATCAACCTTTAGTCACCAATCTCTTGCACAAAGTCCACTCTCTGTTCAGCGTATAGAGACAGTTCAGAGGCTGAAACATTCAACTCACTCACTGCAATTCCTTTTCCTCTTTTTTGCGGGACCAAGTCTTTGCATCACAGATTAAGACTAAGGAAGAGATTTGCTGGGTGACAGTCTGACTCCTTTGAGGGTCACCTTTAGTCAACCATCTCTTGTATAAAGTCCACTCTCTGTTCAGCGTATAAAGACAGTCCAGTAGCCGAAACATTTCACACACTCACTAAATTTCCTATTCCTTTTTTTCTGTGGAACCTAGTCTTTGCATCACAGATTAAGACTAAGGAGGAGATTTGTTGGGTGATAGTCTGACTCCTTTTTGGGTCAGCTTTTAGTCACCCATCTCTTGCACAATGTCCACCCTCTGTTCAGCGTATAAAGACAGTCCAGTGGCCAAAACATTTAAACTCACTCACTGCAATTCCTTTTCCTCTTCTTTGGGGGGACCAAGTCTTTGCATCACAGATTAAGACTAAGGAAGAGATTTGTTGGGTGACATTCTGACTCCTTTAAGGGTCATCTTTAGTTAACCATCTCTTGTACAAAGTCCTCTCTCTGTTCAGCGTAAAAAGACAGTCCAGTGGCCAAAACATTTGACACGCTCAATACATTTCCTTTTCCTCTTTTTTGTGGGACCAAGTCTTTGCATCACAGATTAAGACTAAGAAAGAGATTTGTTGGGTGATATTCTGACTCCTTCGTGGCTCAGCTTTTAGTCACCCATCTCTTGTACAAAGTCCACCCTCTGTTCAGCGCATTAAGACAGTCCAGTGGCCAAAACATTCAACTCACTCACTGCAATTCCTTTTCCTCTTTTCTATGGGACCAAGTCTTTGCATCACAGATTTAAGACTAAGGAAGAGATTTTTGGGTGACAGTCTGACTTCTTTAAGGGTCAGCTCTTAGTCACCCATCTCTTGCACAAAGTCCACCCTCTGTTCAGCGCATTAAGATAGTCCAGTGCCCAAAACGTTTAACTCACTCACTGCAATTCCTTTTCCTCTTTTTGTGGGACCAAGTCTTTGCATCACAGATTAAGACTAAGGAAGAGATTTGTTGGGTGACAGTCTGACTCCTTCGAGGGTCACCTTAAGTCAAACATCTCTTGTATAAAGTCCACTTTCTGTTCAGCGTATAAAGACAGTCCAGTGACCGAAACATTTCACACACTCACTACATTTCCTATTCCTTTCTTTCTGTAGAACCTAGTCTTTGCATCACAGATTACAACTAAGGAGGAGATTTTTTGGGTGATAATCACCCATCTCTTGTGCAAAGTCCACTCTCTGTTCAGCACATAAAGACAGTTCGGTGGCCAAAACGAT